ATTGTTAGAAGAATGAATAACAAAAATGAACAAAATAATGGACATTACTTTGTAACCAATATTTTAATATTAAAAATAATTAAAATAAAATAAATTTTATAGAAATCAATGGTAATTTACTATGCCTTAGCATAAGTTTCACCAATAATGAATAAATGTAGCTAGCGTATTTATTTTCATATTTTTGTAACGCAACTCGTGAAGAGGACAAATTATTTTGTATGGAGAATACTCGGCTTGATTACGAAAAAAGGAATAGTATTTTTCTATTATTGGTAATTAATATATAAAGCTGTTTTATAAAGCTAGATAATATACCAGAGTAAAATTATAAGCACTTTTCACATTTTTAATTGAATTTTATCATAAAATATTGCATGTGGACAATTTTTTTAATAAAAATGGTCATTTTAAATGATTTTCACCCTAAAACGAATTAACACGAGTTGGTTAATATTTCAATCAGTTATAAAAGAGACGTACTTTAGTTTGGTATCGCATTAGATTTCATGGTGATAACATCTTGATAATAATATTTCGTGGACGATAGTAATTATAGGTGACGCTAATGAAGCGAAAATATGAAAGGGCGTATAGAGCAAAGTGGAAGCAAGATCTTTTACTTTCATCATGGATCTCCAAAGCTAAAGATGATCCAGACTTTGTAACTGCAAATTGACACCCTGGTTGTCCGCTTTGAAGAAGCATTCCGCTACTAAAAATAGAAAAAAAAAAGAAAGAATAGTCTCTCAAATAAATTAAATTAAGAAAAAAGCACGAAACAGATTTATAAACAAACATTTACCGTCTATCTTGTACGTTAAACAAGGCATTGGTGAGCATGGCGATTGCATTGAATTCATACCAACGAATGATATGTTTAATTTTAATTTAAAAAATATAGCATTTATATGTGTATTTTTACTTTTCTTAGTTTAATACATACATACAATGGTAAATAATATTGGCAGTATTTAGGCATTTTTCACTACAAACTTTGGCAGGATTTGGCAGGTTTTTAACCAAAGTGAGGCAGGATCTGTATTTTAAAGATGGTCACCCTGGTATACAGTTTGGTATCACCACAAACTATATAGAACACAGAATACTTTACTCCTAGCGGAGATATGGAAGATGATATAGAAACACTAGTATCACAAATTATAAAGTTGTATGTTTGGTATTGGTATACAGTAATCTGCATAGACTAGTTTACTTTAACTATTTCCATAGCATAATGTCGTATGGTATTTTGCTATGGGGACATGCAGCTGACACTGAAATTATATTTGTTTTACAGAAGATGGCTATAAGAGCAATTTATAATTTAAAGCCTAAACAGTCGCTGCGATAAATATTTAAGGAAATTAATATATTAATTTTGGCCTCCCAATACATTTATGAAATTGTAATGTACGTACACAAAAATAAAAGTAGTTTTACAAACATAAGTGATATTCATTCTGTAAATACTAGGAACAGACACAAGCTAGTAGTACCAGTTACTCGACTCCACCGAGTCAGTAATTCATTCTTGGGGCGATTTATACGCTTTTACAACAAAATTCCAGAAAATAGTTTGTATAAAAAGGGTTATTATAATGTTAAGGAATTTATGGATGATACTCGTAATAACCACAGAATACTTTAATAATAACCCCTGGGATATAGGCGAAGTGTAGGGCGTCCCCCCACGAGATGGAGTGACGACCTGGTAAGACATGCAGGAAGTCGATGGATGCAGGTGGCTCAGGACCGTGCTTTGTGGCATTCTTTGGGGGAGGCCTATGTTCAGCAGTGGACTTGTGAAGGGCTGTAATGATGATGATGAAGAACCCCTGGGAATGAGGTGATCGCTACCAAACTATTTCTAATTTGTTGCGTTGTGTTAATTGTTTAACATACATGATTGTAAGTTATTTAAAAAAAACCGCTGGGTTTCTTGCTGGTTCTTCCCATGACAGAGGTTTTTTTTCGAACCAGTGGTAATTAAACAAAAGAGTGACTTTCAATAAGTATTATATATAATCTATATTGAATAAAAAAGTTTCTGTTTCTGTTTCAAATTGTCGACATTTTTTATATTTAAATTGAGTATATATTATGTAATTCCAATATGCCAACTTATTTGAATTTAAAACATTTTAGTATAGTTTAGTTATATTTGTTTTTTCCGTATCTTTTTTTATGAAGAAATTAATTTGTAAACATAAAATTAACATTTACTATACTTGCAATCCAAACTTATTAATTTGGATTCGTGATGTCCCAGGTACTACAGCGTCCAAAATAGCTGGCGTAAAATTATTGTCGTAATATTAAATCATCTTTAGATGTAAAGGCCAATTGTTCTATTAAATTGTCGACATGTTTTATATTTTATTTAAATTGGGTACATATTATTATAGTTATTTTCTGTGTGAATATTGTAAGAATTTTGCATAATTTAAACGTGTTTCATTAAATATTAATTTACGCTACAACTGTAATTCCAATATACTACTTTTTTCTATATCTTTTGTAATGAATAAATCAATTTGTAAGCATAAATCATATTTTACTATAACTTGTATTCCTCGTTAGAAATACATAACTGTGATCGGTTCTGGTTTTTCCAAGATTTAGTCTAATAGGAAATATGTTTCTAAAATAATTAATTATAATAATTCTAGAGATATGTTTATAGAAATAATGTTTAATTATAGAAACATATTTTTTAATAAAATAAATCTTGGAAAAATCAGATCGATGAAAAAAAAATTATTTCTGCGATTCGAATTTTCCCGCTCAAATGTTTTTATGTGCTCCAACGATAGATGGCGCTGAATTTTGTTCCTATCCATTTTATATGGAGTTAACATTAGACATGGGCAATGTGTATCACTTAAAAGAAAAGATTGATATGTATCTTTTGATCACTTGGATATGTATCACTCTTTTATATCTTTATATCCTTATGTATCAGTAGATCAAGCTCGCTTTCACGACACGCATTGCATTACGTTGCGTTGCTCACTCAGCGTGGCTCGCTTCGCTGAAGTCAATCCTATCAGTAAGAGTGATAGATAAGTACCTATAGATTTTATACGTGGTAGAGCCATGCTGCAGCTATATTATGGTTGTAGCACGAATGGGTCGGCTCGACCGGGGAAGAACCACGCTCTCACAGAAAACCAGCGTAAAATAGCAGCTTAACGCTGCTGTGTTTCGTATGGTGAGTGTAGAGAACCGGAGACCCTTTTTACTGGCAAAGAGGCATTCCATCTTAGTCCTCACGGGTGACAACGCATCTGCATCTTGAGTCTTTATTGAGGATAGATGTAGATGTCTATGGGTCACAGTAACCACTTACCATCAGGTGAACTGTGTGCTCGTTTGTCACCCGATCCTATAAAAAAAAAAAAAAAAAAAAAAATAGAGCTGTTTGCATTTTGCTTGGTCTTAACATTGTGTATCTTTCTGATATATTTGTCTGTTGTTTCTTTCTAGGTATCTATTTGTTATGATTAAAAAATTTAAGTTTTCCTATTTCTCAGACATGCAGGTTTCCTCACGATGTTTTCCTTCATCGCCAAGCACGTGGTAAATCAGCACTTAAAATTGCAATTAACAATTTCATTGGTGCCGGCGGGGATCGAACCCGGGTTGCTTGCGTACTGTGAAACTTACAGCGAGCGCTGTTATTGTTATGATTGTTAAATATTAATAGGCACTTATTCGAGAAATTAACTTAAATTTTTAGTTTAAAATAATAATTAAATTAATGATTAACGTAAATAACGTAGGTAGGGTAGGTATTATTTGTATTAATTTGTAGAAAATATATATTATATAGTTTCGGCTTCTTGAAAACATGCCTGCTGCGTTGGCTGTCTTTTAGCTACGAGGGGTACTGTGGGGAAGGTTACCACAATTTCCAGCGGGTACATTTAGCATATTCGCACAATAAAGGCATTTTGCTTTTTTTTGGTTCTACTTCCTCAAAATGATTCCACACTGCGCTTTGTTTTCGTGAACCCATTTTTTTTATTAATAAAACGCTAACTGCACAAAATTATTTACACTTAAAATAAATGAAAAATTCACTAACTGTACGTACAGAACAAAAAACACTTTAAACTATTTACACTGAATGTCTTATTTACCTACATTTAAATTAAACAGTCACTAAGTGTAGGTACAAAACAACTTCAAATATTTTTCTATTCGATGCAATTAACGCAAACAATATCACTCTCGTTCCTAAACCGAGATTAAGGTTGAACTAATGAAGCGAACTGATATATTTGTTTAATTTTGTAAATCACAAATCTTTTTTCTACTTTTTTTATGGATATAAACGACTATTAATTTCGATTATAAAACTTTCTTAAAAAATATGGTTTTATAACTGAAATTAGTTTGCATTGTTTACTAAAAAAATTATAGGCAAAGTACACATAGGTACAGTTCAAACCAGTATAATACTTAAATGTTAACGTACTGCTTAATGACTTTAAGCCCTATGCACCAGTCATAGAGTTATCAATTTACCTTTTTGTGCTAGCGTATTACAGTATATAATGGTCAAACAACTCACTCTCTCCGTCTTGCCAAAGCGCGACAGAACATTCTAAATAGTGACCTGCGAAAGAAACGTCTGTACTATGGACTTTCCGAAATCTTCCTGGAACGACCGGCCGTGCCGGCCGACGTATAATAAAAAGCAGTGTGCGCAATGTGCGACACAGATGTTAGAAAAAGTTAAAAGATGTCTTGAGTGAATAAGTTGTAAAGATATACTGATACAGTGATACATTCGGATGCGGATGGATATAAAGAGTGATTGATGGAAACGGATTGATTCATATCTTTTGTATCTATCTCTCCTGAGTTACTCATCTCTAATAACTTCATGGCTTGATCTAAGTTCATAAACATAAATTCACAATCTACTAAAAAATACAAGAACTTAGAAAGTGAATTATGCCATAAATTATTTTTTATATTCTTTACAAAACATGGGGGAACCTGGAGTTATTAGAAAATTGGATGAAGAAGTTGTAAATCGTATAGCAGCAGGTGAAATAATCCAAAGACCGGCCAATGCTCTTAAAGAATTGATAGAAAATAGGTAAGACTATATTTTAACTATTATATTGTTACAAGTTTGGATTAAATAAACGATAGCAAGATGGCATTAATTTAACACCTTTCCTAAGTCATTTATGTACTGCTGTATAGTATAGTGGTTAGCATGCTTCTTATGCATGATTCTAGCATGCATGTTGCATGCTAGAATAGAATCATTTTTATTTTATATAGAGTGCAGTGAAGGTCATCTTTCTTTATCGACCTCAAAAAGGAGGAGGTATTCAATTCAACTGTGTTTTTTTTTATTTGTGTTACCACATAACTTTTTTCTGTTAGAACCAATTTCAATCATTCTTTTTTTATTTGAAAGCTGGTGCTTCTCATGTAATCTCATATAAATTTGATCAAGGTCTGACTAATAGTTTTTGAGTTATTCTTAATAATTTATATTGAAGTCGGTTGTACATAATTTTTAATTTTAAGTAGTCAATATTTGTAGTACATATGCACAAATGTTCATTAGACATGGTTTTGTTAGGATTAGTATTGAAGGAGTCTGTGTTTTCACCATGTTTGGGCATACATAATATAATAACCTACAAGGGTCCTGTAATTTTGAGATAGTCTGTTTGGCAGTATTTGGACAAATATTGTCTATAAATTACTAGATTTGAGCAATACACAATGCTCATAATGCAAGGCTGCAATTGTACAATGCTAATGTTGCTCTAATTGCAATGTGGACAGGGCCAGGATTTCACATTTGGACACAATTCTGGTATGCCTCTTCCTTCCAGCAGTTGTGTCAGCAATGTTAAGCAAGGATGGGGCGTAGAAAGTCGTAGCTGCCTTGTGTGAATTATTTATGGTCCAGAAAGATGGTACTGAGTGGTATCGGGGAAGGAAAGATCCAGAGTGATCCCACTAACTCGTTCTTCACAGCCCAACCTGTGGTAATGGTGTTTTCATACCAACAATGAATTCTCTGGGGAAGTGGGCGTTCAGGGTGTATGTCCTGAATGCCTAGTAATGTAAACCCCAACATGGTTGATTACCTGGAAGTGGTCTCAAGACATTGTTATAACATAATTGATAGAATCAGGTGTTACTTTGTGGAAATCTATTATAATGGGATTGTTATAAACTAATTTGCTTAATTCCACGTAAAGAAAGAAAATGATGTGTCCTGTCCAGTTTTAAGGGGACCGACGGGTATAGTGCACGTGATTGAGGGTGGGTGGGACGTCGCCTTAAAACTGGACAGGACACATCATTTTCTTTCTTTATGCAGAATTAAGCAAATTAGTTTATAACAACCCCATTGTTATAACATGCAAGTATTGCTCCCAGGAAACCCTTCCCGCAAGCAACGTGAGATAGGGGGCCCTTTGGCCTGGTGATCCGGGACACCTTATATGGTGATGGTGACCACTGCAGTTTTTTGCCGGTAGAAGTCAGACATGACCTTTTGTTGTCCCAGCAGCAGAAGGTATCCATAAGAACTACCCTACCTTAAAAAAATTGTTCACTCTTTATGAGCTATGCACTGTGGGTACATATGCAGCAGATGCAGTGATCCGTTGTGTGTTGATTGGTGGTTGAAATGTTGGGCAACCCCCCGATAGATGAGTCACACCTTGATGAAACATTCAGGCAGTTGATGGATACTGGTGGCTCAGGACTGTACTTTGTGTTAGTCTAGGAAGGAGGCATATGTTTAGCAGTAGACTTATGATGAGCTATAGTGCAGTATTGGCTATGACGGCACATAATATTCGAGGTTTTATACACAAGTGATACATTGTTCAGGCAAGAAAGAAACATATTAAGCTGTAGACTGAACAGCTTAGCAAGGAAGGCTATGGAGGATGTAGAGCAATTCATAACAAATTCCCAGTCATCTTAGATGCTCAGAGTCATGACTGTACACCAGTAGGTGTTACAAATAGTCTCCTGTACAGGGCATGTATGGGGGAGGTGGAAATGGCGGAAGGGCATGTCCAGAGGTTGCTGCATACAGGGCTAAACATCTCAGTACGCCGGAATCACTTCCCGAAGTTGCAACATCAAAGGACTGTTGAACTTCTTCGGGGAGATTTCATGGCTCGAATAATCATACTATCCCTACCCAAATGCAAAATACGCGCTTAGATGCGAAGTTCCAGAAAATATCCCGTCATAAACTAAACTAAATTTATGAGGCTCAGAAGCTAGTATATCTGGTTGAGAGTTTTTGAAATTGTTGGGAAAGCACAACATGCATACACCACAAACGCTAGTTATTCAGTAGTGTAGCCCTACACTTTCTAAAACTCTATATTATAGTTTTATTATTAACAGCTTGGTAGTGCAGTACCTAAGCTTTTAATGGTTGCGCTGTTGATCCACGTAGCTTGAATGAAATGGAATAAGTTATTCTATTCATATTTACACTGTACTTGTTTGTAACAAGCGTTGTACGCCTACAAATTATTGTCCTGGGACTAGAGATTGTCCTTGTGCACTTAATGTATGAAAACATATTAATGATTTTGATGAAACATTTTGTATGTGGTAGAGCCATGCTGCAGCTATATTTCTGGTATAGTTGTAACACGAATGGGTCGGCTCGACCGGAGAAGGATCACGAAACGGTAGTGACCTTTGATCCGGACACTCCGTGTTCGTTTTGTGCGTTAAGCTTTAAAAAAAAACGAGAGTTAGTGGCTTCTGTAAGTTAGTTAATCGTACGATAGAGTTAATGGACTGTCATCGTGACGAACGAAGAAAGTGACTGTGGACGGCGCCGCGGAAGATTACCTCAATTTGGAGCGGTGCTGACGTCCGGGCTGCTGCCGACGGCAAAGGTCTAATAAGGTCAATCACCACCAGTCACACCCAGATACACATCACAGCACCTTATTTCCCTTGCACCACACAACCACATGCGACCTGACCGAATCCTGAGGGACCAGTCGCCTTTGGATATAGGAAAGTAAGCTCCGTTTAATATTCTCCCTGTTGAATGGCAGTAGTATAGAACGCTTCCCCTTATTGTTTAGTGTAATTAGAGATTTTCCACTTTGGCCTTAGGAGGCCCGACCTACGTCTGTTCGTTGAAACTCTGCTGAATGGGCCCCAGAGGATTTGATCTTTTGGAGGAGCAGCCGTAGGCCGTAACAGCGACTATCTTCATCATCAGTCCATAAAAGTCCACTGCTGGATGTGGGTCTGTGTTAAGCCTCACGCTTGGCACACGGCAATTTCAGACCGGGTCTGACGCCTTTGACGCTATTGCCTGTCACCTGTCTAGTATTTTATGTCATGCCATTAATTGGATAATATGAGATTTTTTATTCCTTTCTCCTCAGCACATGGAAATAGCAAGCTTCAGAAGAAATACTAATATAGCTGCAGCATGGCTCTACGTGGTAGAGCCATGCTGCAGCTATATTAGTAGTATAGTTGTAGCACGAATGGGTCGGCTCGACCGGGGAAGGACCACGCTCTCACAGAATACCAGCGTAAAATGGCAGCTTAACACTGCTGTGTTTCGTATGGTGAGTGTAGAGAACCGGAGACCCTTTTTACAGGAAAAGAGGCATTCCATCTTAGTCCTCACGGGTGACAACGCATTTGCATTTTGATTCGCAAGCGAGGATAAATGTAGATGTCTATGGGCCACAGCATCCACTTACCATCAGGTGGACTGTGTGCTCGATTGTCACCCTATCCCATAAAAAAAAAAAAAAAAAAAAAAAAAGAAATTAATTTTAGCTGCAAAATAAACATACTTCTTGCAATTTATATTTTGTTTTGAATATCACAAGTTTTAAATATCAACTGAGACAAGTTTTCATCTTTTACAGAAGAGACTAGTTTTTTCAAGAGAAAAATTAAATAAAAATATTAAGTTTAGTAAACTCATTCATTCTTTTTACAAACAAAAATATTTACCTATTTCTTGTGATTTTTATGACCTATATAAAGTGTATTAATATTTAAACTATTTTTAATATTTCAGCTTAGATGCTCATGCTACAAATATTATAATTACTGTAAAAGCTGGAGGCTTAAAGTACTTACAGGTATGTATGATATTCTTGTATTGCAAATTAATATTGTTTATGAAGTCTGTTAATTATGGATATCCATTATCGCTTAAAATAAATGTAATAGATTGTAAGATTTCACATTACATAATTTAATTATTAAGGTGTAACACGTAGGCCTTTGAGAGCTGTTTCCATTCCTTACCATCTTTTGATGTCCCCATCCAGGTGGATTTTTGCTCTTCCAACTTACTTGATATTATTTAGTTCTTATTATTATTTTAATTTAATCATCTCCTGGCTTCTTCACCAGCAAGCATAATCTTTAACAGTATTTATTAATTTCTCTTTGCTTTCTTTCGACATAACTATCAACCATGTTCCCTTTATTTTAATACATGGTGGATGGATGGAGAGTAGCCAATTTAACTTTCCCTTCCGACTAACCACGAAACTATACATCATTTGAAATGTCGACACCGAGGAATTTGATGGTGGCTAAGGCACCAAGGGGAGTGCTCTGAATTGAGGAGATACGACAAAGGGTTCTGAGGGTTAAACTGAACTAGATTTAGTCGTCCTCAAACCGAGACTTCGTTTGAGAAAATCTCGTCTTCAGGCACGATTTTATTCCGGTACTTGATGACGTGTTACCGAGAAATATTAACATGGCCAGTGTAAAAAGCATCACCAGTGCTGACGTTCACATAGCAATAAATGTTACAGGATTGCAGTGTACAATTGATATGCAGAAGAAACAGCTTAGATAATATAACGCAGCCTTGTGGAACACCAGCATTAATAGGCTAGTAGCCGTAGCACGAACACTGTCTATTACGACCTTGATGTTCGATCTGCAAGAAAACTGGTCATCCAATTGCACAATTTCTCGGCAAGCCCATAGGAAGGAAGCTTCGTAAGAAGCGCTTTGTACCAAACCCGATTGAAGGCCTTCGATTTGTCCAAAGAGTCAAGGCCTCCAACTTGGACTCTAGTGGCTCCGCCCATCTATGAGACAGGTAAACTAGAAGATCACCAGCTGGGCGTCCCCGACGGAACCGGGATTGGCGGTCACTAATCAGCTGGTGATACCCAAGTGACCACGTGAGCTGGCAGTTCATAATGGATTTCATTATTTTGGAGAACAAGATGGCGATAGGCCTGTTTTTAGACGGATCAGAGCGGTCGCCTTTTTAAGGGATCGAGTGCACTAAACCTGTCTTCCATGAGTTCGGGACTACGCCTAGGGAGTAGGAGTACCGGAAAAGATGCATTAGAACCGGTGCCTCAACTCCAGAGTACACGTATTCAGCACAATAGGAGAAAATCTATCAGGCCTACTCGACTTGTTGATGCCCAGGGAAAGAAGTGCTTTTGTTAACTGCACATTCGACATGGAGCACTCACATCGTGGGATTGTAGGCGGTGTGTTCACCCTATCATCGAGAGTCGAGTTGGACGCAAAAAGAGATCCTAAAAGATCGGTTTGCTCCTTAGTAGCATGAGCCAGTGAGTCTTACTCCCTGTGCTGAGATGGATGACAGAAGGTCCCTTAGACAGCCTTGGCGAGGGAGCACAATGCACGGGTAGGCTACCTGAAGGAAGGCGAACTAGTTTCTCGCTAATTCTGCCGATGTGCTCTGTCTTTGCCGTGTCAATAACTTTAATAACCTGGAGGCGGAATTTTACATCTTTTTAACAGCGCTAGTGTTTGCATTCCAGGATGTCGGTGTGTCAGCCTATGCCCGGTAGCCCTCCTGATTATAGCGTGATGAAATGAAAAAACCACGGCTGGAATCAGCCTCCGACGGAGACTACAGATGAATGAATAAAAAGTTCCATTCCCTGAAGAACCATACCATCATCCGGCTAGAATCCACCCCCCAAGGGTAGGATACAAAAAAAAGACCGCATCCGGTCCCAATCGGCCAGCTTTTAATGTCATACACGGCGGCAGCCAGCAGAACGCTCCCAGCCTGCGATGGGATCCCAGTCAATGGTCCAAAGAGCCAAGAGAGGCAGCGACGGAGACCTGATATCCGTCCGGATGAGAGGTTGGCAGAAGGTTCAACAGGGCAAATGTATAATTCTCCATATCTGGAATCCACGTAGGCGAAGTAACCAGTTGTGTCAGACCATATCTCAAGGCAAATTCATGAAGAGATTTCCCCGCATAATGGGTTAAACGATCACGATCTCTACGGATGAGATTTGTTGTAGCATGGAGTCTGTAGTCATTTGGACGTAGTCGATGAGTCTGTCCGTGTCGGCATTACCGCTGCGGGACCTATAGAGGCACCCGTAGACGCGAGGATAGCCGTCACTGTTTACGCGCAGCCAACAGAAAAACAGGTGCAAACCTTTAAAACTGCTGGCGTTAAGGTTCGAATGAAGTTCCCTGATGTTGCAGAAATTTACGAATAGTGTGGCAGGGATCACTTTTGTCTTGTTTCCCTACTTAATTCATATTATGGGGAGGGGGTTGTGCCAGCATTTCTTACCATCTAAACTACTAGATTCTACCGATACATAGAACATTCCTTTGTTAAAAGTTACGACACCCATAGGAAGAGATGGGGTGCCATAGTACATAATACATTTTATTTTATAATGCAGATTCAAGATAATGGAACTGGAATTCGGAGCGACAATTTGGACATAGTATGCGAGCGATTCACAACATCCAAGCTACAGCAATATGAGGACCTTCAGGAAATCAGTACATATGGTTTCAGAGGCGAAGCTTTAGCCAGTATCAGCTATATCTCGCATCTTACAATACTTACAAAGACTGCTGCAGATAAATGTGCTTACAAGTATGAACTCGTTTCTAATTTTATTAATATAATTTATAATATTAATTTTATAATATTATATATTATATAATTCATAAATTTATATAAATCGTGTTTAATTATAAGTTTTTGTCCTCAGTTTCATTTTATATTGCACGTTGCACCTATCCGTCAAAATATATTACATTGTTCCCTATTACGTTCGGTTTGTCAGGTAGAAATCGCTTAAAGCGATATGACCACCGTTTGTAGTTCTTAAGTTATTCTGTAATTGTAACACTTTGTATAAATGCAATAAAGAGTTATCTATCTATCTATCTATAATGTTTAATAATGTTTAATTAGCAGCCTGGTACCGATAGGCGAAGTGTAGGGCGGCTCCCCTCTAAATGGAGTGACGATCTGGTAAGACATGCAGGAAGTCGTTAGATGTAGGTGGCTCAGGACCGTGCTTTGTGGTATTGCTTGGGAGAGGCCTGCTGTGTTCAGCAGTGGACTTGTGAAGGGTTGTAATGATGATGACAATGAATATTTAATTATTTTGTGTACACACACACAAAATGCGACCTATTTGTGTGTGTGTGCGTGCGTGCGTGCGTGTTGCGTGCGTGTGTGTGTGTGTGTGTGTGTGTGTTCGTATGCTGAAATTTCACGTTAGTATTCGGAGGGAGCCTGTTCCTTGCCCGAACGAGTCAACCAATTCATGTTGTGGCACTGCTATTTAAATGTCGTATACTTATTGTATATGTAGAAAGTATAGTGGGTATGGTACAGAGACTAATTTTGTAGTTAGGAATAATAATTAATTCGTTTACACGAATTAACTATCCAACGAGTCAAGGATAAACTAGTAACGGAATACGACAACCGTACCGTTCCACGTCAGAGCCAAGGCTGCCCTAACGGCGGCCGCTCAGTCCGTTTTATACAAGCAGGACGGGCGGCAACGCAGGTGCAGTGCCGCAGGTGTGCGGTACACGTGTCGTTTACAAGAATTCTGTCTAGCTAGACCGACGCCACCGCATCTACAACGGTGCAGGTGCCGTCACGGCCATACTGACATGCGTGCGTCCTCGCACGCGCTCCATCACAATTTTAGTTATCTGTAACAACTGTCTTATCAGTCTTTGCAAAATTATTTGAGATTGTCTTATGCCAGCAAATTAATAAACAAACTCTGAATTTATTGCATCATAGTCAACACGGTTTTCGAACAGCCCGTTCTACCACTTCTAATCTTGTGGCTCATCTTGACTATATATATGCTGAGTTGGATGCTGGTAGGCAGGTAGATACTGCGTACTTCGACTTTAAAAAAGCATTTGACCTGGTCGACAATGATATCTGGTTACGTAAATTGGCGGTGATAGACTTTGCCCCAAAACTTGTCGAATTTTTTTCAAATTACCTACGTGATCGGCGTCAGTTTGTTAGAGTGGGTGCATTTGAGTCTAGTGACTATTACACAAGATCTGGAGTAAGTCAGGGAAGTACGTTGGGGCCATTGCTTTTTCTTATTTTCATTAATGACTTACCGAATAACGTGGTTTCCTCAAAATGTCTGTTGTTCGCGGATGATCTCAAATTAAGCCTAGGTGTAGATGGCCCGTCTGACTGCGAGGCATTGCAGAGACATCAGTGCGGTTTTGGATTGGAGCGTATTAAATCGTCTACCCTTTAATGATAATAAATGTAAAATAATAACATTCACGCGTAAACGCTGTACACTAAATGAAGACTATAATTTATCTGACACGCCCTTAGAAAGGGTAAGCGAAATACGTGACTTAGGATTATTATTAGATGCTAAACTTGACTTTCATAACCATGTGATTTCTGTATGTAAAAAGGCCAGTAAAATGCTTGGCTTCATTATTCGCACTTCTTCACAGTTCGACGGAATAGGGGTCGCTTTGGTACTTTACAATGCATATGTTCGTAGTAAGCTTGAATACGGTGCCATTGTATGGAATCTCTATGAGGAGAAATATATTTTGATGATAGAGAGAATACAGCGCAAATTTGCACGATGGCTATATAAGCAGAATTACGGTTATTACCCCTATTTATATCAGTCCTTATTTGTTACTGGTATGGTGGGTTTGGACACTCTCAAACTTAGGCGGGCTATGCAATTGATAACATTCTACCTAGCAATCATCCATAATAAAATAGATAGCCCGACGATATTAAGCAGAGTGGGGTTATTGGCTCCGAAGCGGCTGGGCTATGATGGTGAGGGGACGGTGGCACCGCGGCGGCGGCCGCGTCTTCTGTGGCGGCCGCCGGCGCGGACCAGGTGCGGCGCTCACGCGCCCACTACTCTTGCTATACGGCTTATTGGAGATATGCTTGCACATGATTACGAGACTGACTTATTTGCTGATAGCTTTAGGCAACTATGTAATAAGGCCCTTCTATTTTTGACATTCAATTTTGACATATTGTAATATATTAATTTAATCTTAGCTTAGTTAATTTGAAAATGATATTTTTAGTTTACTCTATTTGACATAGTATAATCTTCTATTTGGCATCTATTTTTTTATCTATTTGACATCTATTTTTTTTTTTATTTGGACATGTATCTTAATCAATTACTTATTATTTAAAAGTGTAATTTGTAAATTAGCATGCTGACGTTTTGGGCATACTGTAAGCCAGCATGTACACTGTTTTAAAATAAATAAATAAATAAAAATAAAAGTAATCCGTAAAACATCGTTCGATTATCCTGACAAAACAGCGTCTGGTCCGGTCTATACTGACCCTTCAGACTCGGGTGATAATCAGTTTTATTCCGGCAGTAAACCCTACAAAACTTTTATCACCTTTATGCTAGATCGGAATGATTAGTCTGTAGCTTTTTCTATTTTCTCTTTTTTTTTTAAGTACTGTTTCGTAAAATTGTTCATTGTTATGCAAATACTGTAAAATACCAGATACACTCATTCGTCTCTCTTTTATTCTTTTTCTAAGAGAAATAGCAAGCCTTTCACTGAGTTCGTTGTGCTGATGATCAAGTTTATTTAACATAAACTGAAGAGCAGCATCTGCCGTCAATAAGTTTGAATCCCGGCGACACAAAGACATCACAGTTGTTTTTATAACATCTAAACTATGATGAATATCGTGCAGGTCTTGGATTTCTTTTTATGTAAAATTTATATTTGATTTCAAATCCAGTAATGCCTTCATGACACTTGATTTTTATTTTAAAAATCGGCCAATCATATCCGACAAGCTGTTCCACCTAGTCTTGCAGTCGAGCATAAGATCCAGGCCCTTTCCACATTATTCTACAGAGTATTTATGCAACAAGTCATTTTTCAAGGGTGACTTTTTAAAAGATTTAACCAAATCTCGTACTTTTTTTATAGTATATTTGTACAGAAATTCAGATTCTGGAATTCTTGGTACTTCGATATCAAATCCTCCATAGTTTTCTTCAGAATCTTCAGAGTCGTAATCCAGTTCTTTATCTTGTTGCTTTGGGTTGTGATTGGGCGTTGACTGGTTCTTTGACTTATATAGCACATCGAGAACCGCAAGTCGTATGCCGTGGGCGAAACACAATTGATGGTGGCCGTCAAAATTTTTGCCCATTTTAACCATTACGCTGGCTCCGTCTGTTGTGAAAGCAACTATGTCTTCGAGGCTAAGTCCGAAGTTGCTCAAATGTTGTTGTATTAGCTGAGTTCCTACATCTGCTGGCATTGAACCTTTTATTCTCACCAGACCCAAATTTTTGTAATTAGCTGGTTCGAGATCTTTACTGTGGATATTTATATTCATATATCTTTTATTTCGGGTACAGGTCCACTCATCAAATGTCATTGTAAATCTTTTGTTTTGGGACTTCATTTCCTTTAAAAGACGTATCAGTTCGTTTTTTGTATTATCATGTAGCTCTAAAACTATCCTGGTTATAGTTGTTGATGATTTCGGTAGATCGTAGCCGGATTTTTTGAAAACATGCCTTAGGTCTTCAGAAGTACAAAATTTGCTCAACGGGATACCATCCGATGCTGCCATTCTAGTCACTCTTAACTCCATGGAAGAGTCGCTTACATAATAATCCGTGAGTTTAGTTTTCTTTTGGGGTGCTTCATATGGGGCCTTGAATTTATTCTCTACGTGGAAATACCCGCTCGTTCTGTTTCAATGTTGGCTCCTGGGTTATCATGTCATACTGTTTAAAAAAGAGGATGTTGTATGTAATAAGTCGCTAAATTGATTTATATATTATTTTTATTTATTATTAAAACCCTTCACCTAGCAGTAGTGGGTAGAAATAGGCTGATATGATGATGATGATAATAAGGACTTATACTTACGTAGTTACGGATTTCAACCCTTCAGTTACGGACTTGTCAAAAGTTTAATTTTTTTGCGTAATTACGTAACTGCGTAATTACGTAATTACGGAATGGAAGCCCTAGTTATCATCACCTGCTAACAGATATTAACTCTTGTTAAATATTACAACGGTCGACCATCCCAGACTTTTAAGCCATGGACGCGCCGATAAGGCTACCTCCAGGCAAACGCACCCCAACTTTCCGTTCTGCTGCGTTCGTGTCACATTCGCGCTAGCGAGCCATCGCACCGTACCGGCGCTAGCAAATCGTCGTACTGCTTTGCAAAATTAAAAGAAATCGAGATAAATGTATTGCGAACCGTTGAATTCCGAGCTTCCAAAATTCATCACATATTCTCTTAAGAAACGGCGACTGTATGACATTTGAAAACATTGCAAAAAAACGGTAACTATGTGTAGAGACGGATACCATCACATATTTCATAGGGAAGGAGGCAACTGCGCAAAATCTACGAAAGCCGACCAAGCCTCAGACGTTCATTTACAGCACCAAAGGACCATGTGTTCGGCGGCCGCTTGAATTGCCTTGCCGTAAGATCTGCCGATAAGTTACAGACTGTAGCGGTGTAGGCTTAATCTTACTAGCGCTAGGCCGTACCTGACCATGTTCGATTAGCCGTCACAACATCTTCCTCATTGATCATTGTTGTAGAGACTTCTACGAATCTCTCGACATCAAACCCCAATCTTGACGACCACACAGTATTCGGAGCAAACTGCAACACTGATCAATACATTAGAACACAAAAATGTCACTTATTATTTTCAATTCCTAGCATGTTAAAGTTAATCCTTTATTTTGGTAGGTACATCGCTTAAACGTTTTGAATTTCAAAATATAACAGATGATAATCATGTTTCGCAGGAACTATCAAATTGAACAAAACTTGAACAAGTTAATTTTTCATTCAATGCAAACGATGACTTGTCTAGAAAGCCTCCGACATTTCTTTCATTTGTTAACATATTTAGGTACGTCAGAAATAATGAAAACACTCGAGGGTACTTTTAATACAAATCGAACAAAAGGATTTATCTTTTGGCTTAAATAATTTCACTTTATCTTTTCTCTACATTTTAATGATACGACAATATCATAAGTAGGACAGCAAATTTCATTACGGTATTTAACAGAAAAATAGAATCATCAATGCAGAATGCATTATAGTCTTTCACAAATGTAATAATCCTCATACTATTCGAAGATTGTATGTGGGCAAAAATGGGGACTTTATCCCACTTCTGATGTAGAAAGTATAGTGGGTATGGTACAGAGACTAATTTTGTAGTTAGGAATAATAATTAATTCGTTTACACGAATTAACTATCCAACGAGTCAAGGATAAACTAGTAACGGAATACGACAAGCGTACCGTTCCACGTCAGAGTCAAGACTGCCCTAACGGCGGCCGCTCAGTCCGTTTTATACAAGCAGGACGGGCGGCAACGCAGGTGCAGTGCCGCAGGTGTGCGGTACACGTGTCGTTTACAAGAATTCTGTCTAGCTAAACCGACGCCACTGCATCTACAACGGTGCAGGTGCCGTCATATACTTTTTGTCCACTTGTTTCCCGATTACAATTTCTTTAAGATTGTTCGAGACTTATGTGTGTTAACACAATGAAATAATTTATTATAAATAAATATGCACTTATAACACAATATATGTATTCAATTAATATTTGTACAAAGCACTCAATATTATTGGGTTTGTAATCACGACACTTAATTACACTTTGACTAATTCGACGCGTGTTCTCACAACGGAATCCCCAAGAATCATGATGCACCCTAATTTATACATTTCCCTTTCCACTTCACATTTCCCTTTCCACTTCTCTTCCGTTGTGCACGAAGAGGGGCGGCCGGTGTTGGTTGCCAACATGTGCGATAGAAATTAATTGAAAATGTCGCACCTGCGAACTTTGACTGTCGTCAGAGATCTGTTGGACAGGCAGTACACTTTGCTCAAAAATTGACAAAAGTATTTAGATTGTCATGGGAATTGCACATTGACTGAACTTTTTAATAAAAAATATCACATATATAAAACAAAAAAAAAAAAAACAATGCTATTCATTACTATCTGCATAAAAGCACTGCAAACACTTATTTTTACTTAATCTATCTTCTTTTGTGATTTAATGGTAGCATGCAAACTTTTATCACTATATCTTAGGCAAACGTTTTGTACATATACTAAAATTGTTACTGTGATCAAAACCGGACAAATTCCTCGTCTAAAGTACTTTGCAACTAGATATAATCAAATTTTAATATTGATCATTTTAATTTTGCTAAATATAATATTTCAGGGCCTCCTATGAAAATGGCAAACTAAAAGGGCCAATAAAAGCTAGTGCGGGAAACAATGGCACACAAATCACAGTCGAAGATCTGTTTTACAATGTTATAGCGCGAAAGAAATCTCTGCGTAGCGCCGCGGAAGAGTACACGCATATAATGGAATTCGTTGGAGGTTATGCTATACATAACAGTCACGTGGGCTTCACTTTGAAGAAGTTCGGTGAAAATACAGATATAAAGACCGCTATCAAATCGTCCGTTGTGGAAAATATTAGGATTGTATGTTTCGTTACATCGAAATATTTTATAAATAATTATGTTATAATTTTATTCCCCGTGTAGTGGCGGGTAAGAATACTCATCAGTATCTTCCCGTGGGTGTCGTAAAAGGCGACAGAGGATGGGCATTAGCATCTTTCTGATAACAGCAAAACAACAATAAAAAACTGCGGTTGCCAATCCGCTCGCCAAGCGTGGCAACTATGGCAATATACCCCCCATGAAAGTAAGGAAGAGACGGCCCCCAGTCACCGGCGGCCCCGCTATTCCTGGCTACGGTGGCGACCATGGTAACGGCGGGGCAGGGGGTGCTACGAATCTCCGGTGGAGGTTCGGTTGCCACCTACGACGACTCGACCTGGCAACTTAAAACGCACGCACCCTGAGGACTGACGAGAAGATCCTGGAGCTGGAAGAAGAGATAGACAAGTTGCGCTGGAATGACATAGGATTATCCGAAGTCCGAAGAGAGGGGGAGGACACGGTAATCCTCGAATCTGGCAATTTGTTCTATCACCGGGAGAGCGACCATCTGTCCCAAGGGGGTGTCGGATTTATCGTCCACAAGTCTCTCGTTAACAACGTTGTAAAGATTGGGAGTGTGTCAACGAGGGTTGCGTACCTTATACTTAGAATCACCAAACGGTATTCGCTGAAGGTCATACAGGTATACGCACCAACCTCGGCACACCCCGATGAGGAGGTGGAGGAAATGTATGAGGATATCTCTAGAGCCATGCATTCCTCCAAAACCCACTATACGGTGTTAATGGGAGACTTCAATGCAAAACTAGGCACAAGAGAGAACGGTGAGCTGAAAGTAGGGAATTTCGGAATAGGGCAACGGAACCCAAGGGGCCAGCAGCTGGCCGATTTCATGGAGAAAGAGGGACTCTTTATGATGAACTCTTTCTTCCAGAAGCGGACCCACAGGAAGTGGACCTGGTCGAGCCCCGACGGTTCGACAAAAAATGAGATTGACTTCATTATGACGACCAGACGACAACTGTTGAGTGATGTCTCAGTGATCGCGAGGGTGAAAACCGGCAGCGATCACCGAATGGTGAGAGGCACACTGAACCTAAACGTTAAGTTGGAGAGGTCACGTCTAATGAAATCGACGCTCCGTCCCCCTCGTGCTCTAATCCAAAGTCCCGAAACCTTTCAGCTCGAGCTACAAAACCGTTTTCAGTGCCTAGAAGATTGCAATGCAGTGGACGATATGAATGACAAGCTCGTGGAAACTGTCTATGCGGTCGGAGCTAAGCTCTGCAAGACCCGCCGCAGAAGAACACAAAAACTCTCTCATGGCTGTTAGACGGGATATGAAGCTGCAGTCTTCAGTAAATTTGACAGCATACAGGCAACTGAACAGACAGATCTCCAAATGCATGCGGTGGGACTTACGCAACTTTAATACTGCTCGTATTAAAGAAGCGATCGAGCGGAACCAGGGCTCCAAAGTCTTTGCTAGAGATCTGTCTGCTAGAAAGAGCCAACTGTCGAAGCTGAAGACCGAGTGTGGCAGCGTCCTTTACGGGACACCTGAGATTTTAAATGAGATTGAGAGGTTCTATGGGCAGCTCTACACATCATCGTTGGAGCCACACGTAAGTGTGAGTAACGATCTAAGAGCGAGTCTTATCAGACACTATTCCGATGATATCCCGGACGTCAGTCTGAGCGAGATTAGAATGGCTCTCCAGCACCTTAAAAACGGCAAGGCCCCAGGCGATGGAATTACAGCGGATTTTTCACCCGCTTCTGAAAGCGGGTGGAAAACCAGTACTTGAAGTCCTTCAGAAGCTAATTAATTCCGTCCTCCATGGTGGCACTACACCGGAGGCGTGGAGCAGAAGTGCGGTGGTCTTGTTCTTCAAGAAAGGTGACAACGCTCTCTTGAAGAACTACAGACCGATTTCTCTTCTGAGCCGCGTCTACGTGCTGTTTTCGAGAGTCATTACGAATCGTCTCGCGCGCAGACTTGACGACTTCCAGCCTCCCGAACAAGCTGGTTTCCGAAAAGGCTTTAGCACCATAGACCACATACATACCCTTCGGCGAATTGTACAAAAGTCCGAGGAGTACAATTTGTCACTATGTCTGGCGTATGTGGACTATGAGAAAGCCTTTGATTCCGTCGAAATTTGGGCGGCGCTGCAGTCCCTTCAGCGATGCCAAGTTGACTGTCGGTGTATCGAAGTGCTGAAGTGCTCGTAAAGTAGAGCTACGATGGCTATCCGAGTACAGAACCAGAGTACGAAACTTATCCAATTGCAGAGAGGTGTAAGACAGGGTGACGTGATATCCCCGAAACTCTTCACCGCTGCATTGGAAGACATTCACTCACCTTCGATTTGCTGACGATATAGTCCTTATGTCAGAATCGCTGGAGGACCTAAGCACTATGCTCAATGACCTCAATAGTGTCTCCCAACGGATAGGTCTTACGATGAACATGGACAAAACAAAGATTATGTTTAATGTCCATGTCATACCTATGCCGATAGTTGTTGGGAGCACTAAGCTCGAAGTTGTTGACGAGTATGTTTACCTGGGACAAATAGTCCGACTAGGTAAGTCCAACTTCGACCGAGGAGAGGTCAATCGACGGATTCAACTCGGTTGGGCAGCGTTCGGGAAATTACGGCACATCTTCTCGTCAGGTATACCTCAAAACTTGAAAACAAGACTGTACAACCAGTGCGTGTTGCCAGTGATGACCTATGGTACTGAGACGTGGTCCTTCACTGCTGGCCGGATGAGGAAGCTCAAGGTCGCTCAGCGAGCTATGAAGAGGGCTATGCTCGGAGTTTCTCTGCGTGATAAACTTAGAAATGAGGATATTCGCAGTAGAACCAGAGCGACCGACATAGCCCAACGGATTTGTAAACTGAAGTGGCAATGGGCCGGCCATATAGCTCGAAGAACCGTTGGGGAAAAAAGGTTCTCGAGTGGCGGCGTACCTCGTACCGGCGGACGAAGTGTAGGGTGTCCCCCCACTAGATGGAGTGACGACTTGGTAAAATATGCAGGAAGTCGATGGATGCAGGTGGCTCAGGACCGTGCTTTGTGGCATTTCTTGGGGGAGACCTATGTACAGTAGTGGACTTGTGAAGGGCTGTAATGATGAATGATGATAATTTATTTATAATGATTTATTTTATCTTTAACTAAAAATAGAAATGGTATCATTTTTTTGTTAAAGACAATTACGTATAATTATTGCCTTTAACAAAATATAATTTGACAAAATATGGGTCGGTGGGGCGTGCGTGTGTACGTTTACGTGCGTGCGTGTCCATTACCGTTATTGCTTGTCAAAGTCCACAGTGAATATGGCCCACTTCATAACGGGACCACTTTTCATAGTTGCCACACTGGCAGGTGTTTTAAGAATACGCTGCTGCCCATCTCCCGGTTTGTTTCCCTCTGTCGTCTCCAAAACCCAGGAAACGATGTGGGGTAGTGGATATTCTTACTTATTTTTCACCTTTCACCGCCACTTCACGGGATTCGTGCAGTAACGGTATAAGACGTCTTCTTTTTGAAGAAAAAAATTTGTTTTGCATTATACAGTTTTAGTTTGTTATTCCTGTAGAAATTGGTCTTATATTAAGCAAATTATATTAGGTCTTAAAAATTGTAAATACTATTCAAAATTATATTCAAACCCTTCTATACTGAGTTTTCCGTGTGCTAGTAGAGTGAGAGATTCCATCTCCTAATTACATTTCCTATGTTTCGTAAGAGGTAGTTATGGGAAATGTCTGATGTATCACATGGCTTAAGGTAGCTAGATCAACTATCTCATATATGCCACATGTAGAAATCGCGGCAGCATACGCAAAGCAGCATCAATGAAGTGAGTTTTTTATTTTATGGCGATTGTTAATCCCTTTGCCAAGTATAACAGTGGAAAATATTCCCAACTCCGAGTGCCCATGATGAAAACAGGTAGTTCAGATGTAGGGTTACCTGTCTTTTTTTATAGAATAAAAGCGACCAAAGGGCACACAGTCCACCTGATGGTAAGTGGATGCTGTGGCCCATAGATCTTTTATCCTCGATTGATAATCAAAATCCACATGCGTGGTCACCCCTGAGAAGATGGAATGCCTCGTATCCAGTATTAGGGGTCTCCGGTTCTCTACACTCACCATACGAAACACAGCAGCGTTAAGCTGCTATTTTACGCTGGTATTCTGTGAGAGCGTGGTCCTTCCCAGGTCGAGCCGACCCATTCGTGCTACACCTATAACATAGTTGCAGTATGGCTCTAACCACGATATAACTACACTAAAACTTTCTTCTGAGCTGAAATTTTATTGGAAGTAATTAAGGCGATACGAGCATACATTTTAGAACGTGTTAGAGCCATGCTGCAGCTATATTAGTAGTATACGAGGGCTGCACTAAAAGTATCGGGAATAGAATATTTCCACTGTTCCTGTCATATTAAAAGTCCTTGGTTTTAAAAATCGAATACCATATATTTCTTTAAAAAAAGATTATCGGTCTTGCCATAAGGTTTTATCAAACTTGTTTAGTCGTTGAGAAAATGGAATTGACTCGAGAAAATTCAAGAGCGATGATTTATTATGACTTTCGAAGTGGTTTAACACAAAAACAGTATGTTGACCGGATGATTTCTGCAATTGGTGATGAAGCCCCATCCAAAACCACAATTTATCGCTGGTTTACTGAATTTCAACGTGGACCTGTCAAGCTCAGTGATGATCCCCGTCAAGGTCGTCCAAAAACTGCAGTCACCCAAGAAAACGTTTATGCTGTGCGTAAGCTGATTGAGGAAGATCGACATGTGACATACCGCGAAATTCAGGCAACTTTAGACAGTGGCATGAGTCAAATACAAATAATCTTGCATGAACAATTAGGTGTAAAAAAGTTGTTTTCCCGATGGATACCGCATTCGCTCTGTGAAGAGCAAAAAGCGGCTCGCGTTACTTGGTGCGTCAGAACTCTCGAAAGATTCCACGCAGGATCCTAAAATGCTGTATACAACATCGTATCAGGTGACGAATCCTGGATATATGCGTACGAACCCGAAACAAAAAACCAGTCGCGAGTTTGGGTGTTCGAAAATAAGTTAAAGCCAACAAAATTGTTCGTTCACGGAGTGTTGCAAAAAAAATAGTGGCCACGTTTGTCTCCAAAACCGGCCATGTTACGACTATTCCTCTCGAGGGGCAACGAACGGTTAATGCAGAATGGTATGCTAGCATTTGTTTGCCACAGGTAGTTTCTGAACTCCGTAAAGAGAACTGCAACCGCCGCATCACCCTTCATCACGACAATGCGAGTTCTCACACCGCACACAGAACAAAAGAGTTTTTAGAGCAAAAAAACATAGAATTATTAGACCATCCGCCGTACAGTCCCGACCTAAGCCCTAATGATTTCTATACTTTCCCTAAAATAAAAAATAAATTGCTTGGACAGAGATTTTCATCACATGAAAAAGCTGTGGACGCCTACAAAACGGCCATTTTGGAGACCCCAACTTCCGAATGGAATGGTTGCTTCAATGATTGGTTCCATCGTATGGAAAAATGTGTCAAATTTCGCGGACAATACTTCGAAAAGCAATAAATACATTTTTAAGTAGTAATGTTGTGTCACTTCCTTGATTCCCGAAATTTTCAGTGCCGCCCTCGTAGTTGTAGCACGAATGCGTCGGCTCGACCGGGGAAGGACCACGCTCTCACAGAATACCAGCGTAAACTGGCAGCTTGACACTGCTGTGTTTCGTATGGTGAGTGTAGAGAACTGGAGACCCATTTTACTGGAAAAGAGGCATTCCATCTCAGTCCTCATGGGTGACGACGCTTCTGCATTTTGATTCTTTATTGAGGATAAATGTAGATGTCTGTGGGTCACAGCAACCACTTACCATCAGGTGGATTGTGTGCTCGTTTGTCACCCTATCCTATAAAAAAATACATCCCATCTGATGATATAAAATGGTTACTATTACCCAACAAGAAGCAAAAAGACTGCAATGGCTTTTTATCCAGCTATAAACTTTATTTATGACACCCAAATGGAGATTACGTCGCTATTATTATCGTAATTTTGGATTTTTGGTAAGAATATTTTTATCGAGCACTAACAGATTTATTTAATTATTTAAATAAATCGTCGATTACAGATTCACGGAAATTCCATAGCACGGGAATTACTCGAGATAGGATTGAAAGACGACACTTTGCAGATGTCCCTTCACGGGTACGTTACGAACGTCAACTACTCTCACAAGAAAGGCACCATGCTCTTGTTCATTAACCACAGACTAGTAGACTCACAGAGTAAGTTATTTTGTTATTTATTGTACGACGCGTGATCAAGTGCTCAGAGTAGCTGAGTACAGGGTAACGGACGTTTGGTCCGATTCTCAGGCAGTATTTGTGTCTCAAAATTATGTTTGGGAGTAAAGAGGACCATCTCATTTAAGGCTTTAGAAGTGTCTACCGAAACGTTAAATATTGACTAATTAACTAATAATGACATGAGTGACGCTGGTGTAGTTTTATTTGAGCGGCGGCTTGCCGTTTTGTGTGAGAAAATTGAAATAAAAATTTATAGATTGCACAAATCGATGAAATATAATTTATAGATCAATTTGTATAATGCCTACCCCTCTGGGTGACAGGCGTGAGTGTTTATGTATGTATGTATGTATTGTATAACAAATTTTGCCTTTTCAAAAAATTGCCAAAACTTCAATAAAATTCAAAAAGTGTGTGGTATGTGTGAGTTAGTGCGTGCGTGCGTGCATATGTGTGTGTATTTTGAGTTGATATCAGGAAGATGCTGCTTACAACACGGGACGATATGGGATAGTGAATATTCTTACACGGCTACACTACACGGTTGTCATTTTTTATGAAAGTTAACCTCTCAGAACTTGACATTTTATTGGACATATTTAGTTAGAACTATGGTCAAGCCAAAGAGTATAGTAGGTCAGGCCAGACGATTTTTTTAAAAAATGGTAAAAATAACTTAGAGTCATTACTATGTTCATATCCAAAAATAAAAAAATTATCAACAATTAAAATATCGAATTATTTATATGAAGGTCAAGTGAGCGCTAGAGTGACGACGATTGCAAGACGATTTGTCGATAAATGAAATGTTTCGAGAAATTATCAATTACTGTGTAGTGGCGGTGTATGAATATTCATACTATTCCGTGGGTTTCGTAAGAGGCGACTGATCCACTGTTCAATACAACAAGGTACGTGTACCGTGGAACAGAACGTGGCAACTATGACAAGTATACCCTCTATGAGGAATATAGTGGAGGCCTATGTTCATTGGGGGTTTTTATAGGATGTAACGGTCCATCACCAGCAGTGGAATGAAACTGTAAGGAGAGGGAGGGATTAATTTTATTATTTAAAAAAATATTTTTGTGTTTTTTTTTCTAGAAGAGGGGGCAAACGAGCATGCGGCTCACCTGATGGTAAGTCACTACCGCCGCCCATGAACAACCGCAACACCAGGGGAATTGCAGATGCGTTGCCGGCCGTTTAGAAAGGTGTAAGCTCTTTTCTTGAAGGTCCCTAAGTCGTATCGGTCCGGAAAATCCGCCGGTGGTAAACAATTATGTGTAAAAAAGTCATCAAACAGCATCAAACAATTTATTAAACAAAAGTTGCGTAAACAAGTTCAATGGTTAAAACAATATTAAATAACAAAACCAAACAATTCTACTGAAAAGAAAAAAAAGTAAATATTATTTCACTTTTACAACTAAGGCAAATCTAACGAATCGCTATATTATGTTAAAATTCAATATACATATATATATATATATATATATATATATATATATATATATATATATATATATATATGTTAAAATCGAATAAATATTATGAAGAAAGAAACAAGGACATAGAAACACTTGATTTTCATAAAGAAAAGAAATATATAATATAATTATATCGATAAACTCAGTAGAAGCCTCAAAAAAAATTAAATCACAGGTATATACTTGTACATCCGTAAGATAGCGTAATAAAGTATATACTTTATTACGCTATCTTTGAGCAACGCCATTTTTCTAACGACTTCAAACAGATGAAGGAAGTCGACTGTGTTTTTTTATGTGTGTTACCTCATAACCTTCTGGGTGAACTGATTTCGATGATTCTTTTTTTATTTGAAAGCTGGTGCTTCACATTCACATTTTTATTTTTAGTTATTGTTGAAAACAACTTTGCCATAATGTTCACTATATATCGAAATTATAACATAAAACGTAATTTTCGCGCATTGGACTTTGTGGGATATGAAAATTTGTGTTTATTACATGATTTATTGTGATAACTCACACTTTTTATTTACTTTTCAGTTAATTCTGGCTATTAAATATAGTGATACGTGAACGACACAGTATTTGAAATGGCAATTTTATAAAATATATGAAATTGTTACGAAGCAAAATATAAGGAATTAAATTTTAAAACAGTGTAATTACTTACCATTTGTATAAAAACTAACAAAAAAACTTTCTATTGTACCCACTTAATTTTTTGTAAAATTTCTAGTTGCCTCTTACACTCACGCGGCGAAGGATATAAGACTAAAGTATGTGACGTAAACGCGACGCGAGGCGGAAACTCGTCATTTGAAGTAAATTCTGTTAATTTAAAGAAGCGTAATTTAATAACGAAACTAATTCTAATAAAATTTTAGTTTTATAGTTCATCTAAATAACATTTAAAAAATAATTGTTATGAGCACAATAACTTTGGTTCTGACTAAACGTAGTGTAGTGATCATATACTCTTTGGTTCTGAGGGGTCCTTTCTAAATATTACCATACTCTTTGGAGCGTTCTACAAAGTTGACCTTGGATTGCCTCTTGTGTACTTCAAAGGCTTGACAGATTAAACAATGTTCTTTTTATTTCAGGTATACGCAAAGCGGTGGACTCCGTTTATAGCACGTACCTACCGAAGAACGCTCACGCATTTGTTTATCTCAGTATTGAGCTAGGTAAGTTGATGGAATTGTATTTATTTATTATAATTTTTTTTTATAGGATAGGGTGACAAATGGGCAGATAGTCCACCTGATGGTAAGTGGTCACTGCGGCCCATAGATATCTACATCTATCCTCGCTTGCGAATCAAAATGCAGTTGCGCTGTGACCCGTGAGGACTAAGATGGAATGCCTCTTTTCCAGTAAAAAGGGTCTCCGGTTCTCTACACTCACCATACAAAACACAGCAGTTTTAAGCTGCTATTTTACGCTGGTATTCTGTGAGAGCGTGGTCCTTCCCCGGTCGAGCCGACCCATTCGTGCTACAACTATACTACTAATATAGCTGCAGCATGGCTCTACTACGTATAAAATGCTAGGTAATGGTAGGCGTGTTAACGGAGTAGATAATCTCGGCTTAAACTGCATAGTTTACGAGCAACCCCAACCACATGGCACGTGTAGTGGTGGCGTAGGAGAATTTACTACCTCATATGATCCCGTGGGTGTTGTAAGAGGCGACAGAGGGAAACTGAAGCAGGAGATACGCACCAGCAATCTCATCATGCCAAAATTCTCGTGTAATGGTTTGATATCCATAAATTAAGAATAATGAATTCTACACATTATTGATAAAACAGTTGACTTTTAGATCCCAGAAATGTTGATGTGAATGTACATCCAACGAAACATGAAGTTCAGTTTCTATATGAGGAGCAGATTATCGAAAAAATAAAATCGTGCATTGAAAGTAAACTGCTCAGTTGTAATTACTCTCGAGTTATGTACACGCAGGTAATGGACTTATCAACATTTTTTTTTTCTAAAATAAGTAAGAAGTTATTTTTTGTTTAAAAAATATTATGTATCGTTGAGACCCTAAACATGCCTAAATTGCAATGCAGAGACAAATATTAGGTTATACAAATTTCCGTGCGAGATTTGAAACCGCGGCCCCGCAGTCAGGCTTATTAAAAAGAGAAAACCTTAAGAGATAGCCGCTGCGCCATCTATATAAGAATCTATCTAAAACATATACAGTCGTCACATTTTTTAACAATTTATTTCGTTAATCGGTTGACTAAATACTTTATAATTCGTCAATTTCACAGGCTCGTCTACCAGGCGCAACAAATGTTGATGAAATAATAAAAAAAACCACCGATGGGGCCAAGGTGTACGCAAAAGATTTAGTTAGAGTCAGTTCAGATACACAAAAAATTGACAAATTTTTCCAAATCGCTTCTAAACAAATAGATAATAATAAAAAAGATTCCATTGAAAAAGAGTTTATAGAAGATAATGAAAACAAATTAATGAATAATGAACACGAAGAAAACCTAAATGAAGCAAATAAAATACCGAACATAATTATCGAGGAAACGGAAAATAATCCAGATGTTCTAGAGAGTTCGATTGTAAACGAACCCAAAGAGAACAATAAATCTACAGAAAAATGGAATTTACGTACTGGTGCCGACCACGCGAATATAACTTATATCGATCCAAAAGAATCATTCAAAACACGAACATTTAAATACGAGAGGGTGGAAACTAAACTCACAAGTGTGAAACAGTTACGTATGGACGTTGAGAACAAGTGCAATATGAATCTCAGGGAAATATTGGCGAATTTGATTTTCATCGCATGTATCGATTGCCACCAATCACTTATCCAACATTCTACGAAGCTGTATTTGTGCAATACAACGAAATTAACGTAAGCATTTTTAACTGTATCGTTCTATGACCTAGATAACTGTATTAAGATTTTATGTGTTTATGCTTATTTTTAATCTGTGAGATACCAAATTAGCAGTATCAGCAACGCAGGCACCATTGCATTCCGTTCTGATGGGTAGGAAAGCTGGTATGATAACATGGCAAAAGAAACTACAAGACAACTTTAAAAGTAAAGGTGATACTTTAATTTTAATGTTGTCTTGTAGTCATTACGTCTATTACTGGGCGTAAGTTTTTCTCAAAAGATTAAGCCTGTTGATGATCATAGCGCTGAATATTTTAGTCAGGTTATACCTCGAAGCAAATACAAAGAGGGGGTATTCTAATTAGATTTCAGTATGAAACAACGCGTGACAATATGCGGGGAGGGGGCGTTAAGCCCCGCCCACTTAACTATTTTCCATCTACCGATAAATAGTAAAACTACTCGCATCGTTCCATATCGATGTTCCAATGTAGTTTAGCTACCTTGACGATAGATGGCCGCCTGTTCACAAAATTATTATAAAAACTATAAAAATAATATTTGGCGATTAAAAATTCTTTAGGACTGAATGCAAAACAAATTTCAGCACTTTCGTATGATTATTTTACCAATACTGAGCTCTACGTACCTTTATATTTTTAGTTCCCATGACACAAAATGTCGCCATCTAGTGTCGAATATATTTAATTATATTTGAAATCCGACGCTGAAATTTATCTTATGATATTACTTACAAATGAAAATGATGCCATCCATAGCATCAGAGCGTTTATCTGACTAGTTTTTACACGATAAAAACACACTTCATCCTTTTCTTCTTAATACTACGAAAATTACTGTTTTGCTATTTTCGACACGCGCACGGGACGAACGCTGACAGTATATTAACTAAAGCTACGCCCACTGTGATGACGTCAGGACCTATTTAGAATCACAGTGCACAGTTGCTTAGGCCGTCTCCTCTTTGTATTTGCTCCGTGGGTTATACCGCTATATTCATAACTATTTTTTTTTAATAATAGCACTGCTATTAACATTACTAATATAATATTCCCATAAATCACTCCTGGTAATCTTAAAATGCTTGTGTTAGGAGTGTTTCATCACAATATTCGAAGTACGGATTCGAACACACAACGTTTTGAGATCGCGGTTCGCACCCTACCATTACTATTACTGACGCACTATTTAGACACATCGTCCCTTATGGTTCTATCGCTATTATGAATTGGAAGACAAGACAAAAGATAAAGAAATAATATGATGAAGGAGAAAAGGTTTTAGTATAAGCCTTCAAACACATTGAAAAATGTCCTCCAGACCGAATTTCGGTCTCAACGGAGTCTGGCCATCGGCGCATGACAGCATTATAGTGGCCAAGTGTATGCACAAGCACACATGCACTCTCTATTCCCTCACTCTCACAGTCCGATGGGACGGTAAACCGACACGACCCAAGGGGGCTCAGGCGCAGGACCAGTGGCTTACTTGCTTTCCGAGGCACGGGAGTGAGACACCGCCAACTTCCTGACTTCGGGCTGCTACTGAGAATTTCTTGATGGAAAACTCAACAACTGATTTTCTTTTAGACCTGACTCGGGAATCGAACCTGTGACCTCATGATCAGCAGTCTTACTACTACAACCACTAGACCAACAACAGTCAAGCACATTGAATAATGCAATACCAAACACTTATTTTACAGAGAGGAGCTTTTTTACGAGACAATGCTGTACGATTTTCAGAACTTTGGATTAATCAAATTGTCGAATCCATTGCCTGTGGAAGAACTGTTCATACTCGGTCTCAGGTCACAGGAATCCGAGTGGAATCCTGAGTTTGGTAAGTTTTGAAAGTAAACATCGAATTCTTTATTGGTTTGTGGTCGTAAGCACGACTGCTGATCGTGCAGCCCCGGGTTTGGATACCGGTCGGGCCAAAAACAATTATTGGTACTTCTTGACAGAAAAATATGTCTAGAAATTTATCGGAAAGCATGTAAAGAAAGAAGATAATAAAAAAGTAGTTGTGCTTGCCGCATACACTCATGCACTACAATCCTGCCCTGTGCAGATGGCTAAGTCTCCATTGAGATTAGACCACCTTGACCAGAATTCGGTCAGAAATAAGTTATTATCAAACGATATTAGAAACAAATATTTTCTTTACTTTGTGTCACAGTAGAATAATGAACTTCAGTTATTAAGTGGCAAATAATAACCGTCAATTGAGTTAATTATGTTACGTGTTGCATACGCTACTTATAACAAAAATAAAAAAAAAACAATTTTTGAAGTTTTTGTCTGTTTTTTTGTTTCGGCTAATCTCTGAAATGGCTAGACCGATTTAGACAGGATTTTCACAGGCAAATTCCGCGCGAAAAAAATTAAAACCCATGAAATTCAATCGTAATAAATTCCACGCGGGTGAAGTCGCGGGGAACAAATAGTCTTGTAATAATATTTGGCCGTGCAAGGGAAAAGGGAAATTTCCCGCAGGGGTAAGTGTTCAACCCGGGAAGGGGCCGGCGCTCCATGTCGTAGTACAGAGCTACTCCATATACGAGGGTGGATTGAAAAGTACTCGGCCTAACCAAGAAAATAAACAAATACTAAATCAGTTATATATTTATTTTTCTACATAATCACCATCAAGTTCAATACACTTTTGCCACCTCCCCTTCCAAGCATTTAGACCGTTGAAAAAAAATGATTCTTCCTTAGAGTCAAAATATGCGTCTACAGCAGCTTTGACCTCGTCGTTTGTCGAAAATCTTTGACCTCCCAAGTGCTTTTTTAGGTTAGGGAACAGAAAGAAGTCTGATGGTGCCAGATCAGGTGAATACGGCGGATGCGGTAACAGTTCAAAGCCACAGTTGTGAATTTCAGCCATTGACTGTACTGACGTGTGAACACGGGCGTTATCTTGATGAAACAGGACTTTTCTTCTGAGCATTCCTCGACGTTTTTCTTTTATTTCCTCTCGTAAACGACGTAGTAAGGTGCAGTAGTAATCAGAGTTTATACTCTGACCCCTTTCAAGATAATCAATCATAATCACACCTTTCGAGTCCCAGAATACTGAAGCCATCACCTTATTTGCCGACAAAATCGACTTAGCCTTTTTAAGGGGTGGTGAACCAGGTCTTCTCCACTGTTTTGATTGTTGTTTTGTTTCCGGTGTACAGTAATGAACCCATGTTTCGTCCATAGTAACAAAACGATTCAAAAAATCATCTGCATCGGCTTCAAATAACTCCAAACAGTTGCGTGAAATAGTCAATCGCGTCCTTTTTTGTTCAACTGAAAGCAGTCGCGGAACCCACCTCGCAGACACCTTGTGGAAACCCAACTTGTTGACAATGATGTTTTGAGTTCATTCATAAGAGATGCCTATAATCTCGGCTATCTCTCTAATTTTTAATCTACGGTCTCCCATTATTAAATCAAGTATTTTTTTAATATTTTCGTCAGTAGTTGACGTCGAAGGCCTTCCAGAGCGGGGTTCATCTTTCACACTCTCTACCACGCTTAAATTCTGCTATCCATTTTTTGACGGATGAATATGACAGAGCACAATCGCCTAATGTACTGACCATGTCATCATGGATGGCTTTTGATGATAGCCCCTTCTTATGGAGGTACTTAATGACGGCACGCTGCTCGATTTGCTCCATTCGCGGAAATTATGTCCGATTACTTTGTTAATAAATTTATAAAATCACAACTAATTATCGCACACGTTTCGAACTTCACACAATGAACTAGTCTGAACTGAACTAAATAATGTGGATAGATTTGATTTTTAGAATTGAATGGATCTGTGTTAGGCCGAGTACTTTTCAATCCACCCTCGTATGTATACCACAGTATACCTTGGAAACTTTGATATCGTGATTTAGATATTACGATTTATTTTTGCCTGTGGTGCGACGGCAGCGCTGTCACAAATATTATAATCATTTGCCGCGTCTTCTATAAAAAATATTTTTACGTTAAGTGTTTTCTACTTCTTTCTCTTCTGTACTCTACTTTATACTCTTCCAGGTGATATGAGAGAAATGGTTCAACAGATGACAAGGCTCTTGGTAAGCAAGAAAGATATGCTATTCGAATATTTTTCTTTCGAAATAAACAACGACGGCGAATTATTGGCGTTGCCACTGTTATTGGGTAACTGTTTTTTCTATAATTCAAAAATACTGTTCTTTTTTACTATTATAAGTCTTGACTGTTGTATAAGAAATTTCAATCATTCTCGTAACTTTTGGCTTACATTCTTTAACTGCATATTTTAGCTCCTGTAGTTAAAAAAATTGGTTGACCCTACAGGCCATCCCTGCAACCTGCCGCTAATTTCAAACGCAATGCGCTCCGAAGTCCACCTATTATGAATTCTTCTTCGAGCTCAAAAACGTCATAAAATTTTCAAGAGAAATCGTTGTTGTAATTTTTCGACGATTTCTCTTGAACGAATGAACCGACTTTGATTGTGGTTTACGGCAATTGACGTCGTTTTTTGAGGATCGATACATTAGTTTAAAAGTTATCTCAAAAAAACATTTTTTTTATGAAAATAAAATTGATTTGTGAGAGGAAGAAAACTTCTTTTAAATCGCGCAGTAGTGGATCGCCAATCATCCAGATAGTATGGATGGTATCGCGAGTTTTGTCGCGATGTGCGATGGTGAAATTGAGCGGCTGGAATTAGTTCGAATAATTCCTCAGAGCACTCTCTCTTGTAGATGCGATAAAATACGCAAAGAGATGCAACATCTATACGCAGTGCCAATGAGTCAAACCGATCGGAAAGAATTCAATCGTAGACTATTCGAACCGCTCTGTACTGGATGCGGTCAAGTGGAAGCTAGCACTGGGGAGCCTCTGCCCAATAATGGGAACAGTATTTCATGTGGGGGCGAACCTACGCCTTGTAAACTACGGCCTGTAGTTGGACGGATCTTAGCGGTCGCCTTTTTTAAGGATCGGGTGCACCAAAGCTATCTTCCATGAGTTCGGGACGAACTTTCCTTCACCGTCGAGCACATGGTTATAGCAAGAAATAAATTTTTTAAATATTAATAATTTGGGATTTTCGGAATGAAGTCTGGTTGCTCGTATACTTAGGAATTTACGGCAATTACATAACATGTGTTATTGATCTTTATTATTTGATTTTAGATGGCCACACTCCATTTATGGGTGCGCTACCTACTTACCTAGTTCGATTAGTCACAGAAGTGAATTGGGATTCTGAGAAGGAATGCTTCGATACATTTAGTCGTCAGACCGCCATTTTTTATTCCCAACCGAACCCAGACTCTACTCTAGAAATGCAGAAATCCGAGGAATGGAAGCAAGAGCACGTGATATTTCCGGCAATCAGAAGAAATTTCTTACCACCCACTAGTTTTGTAAGCAACGGGGTAATATTACAAATAGCTAATTTAAGTGATTTGTACAAAGTGTTTGAACGATGTTGATTGAATTGTATAGTTGTCGTTAAGAATGTTTGTTTTGTTAAAAGCATTTTTATTCCTTACATTCCTTCTATTATTTCCTATTCATTCATTTCTTACACCCCTTTTTTATTTAATTTGGTATTAAATTTCTGTTAGTAAACTGGTTCAAGTTTGGCAAAGTGAAATATTTTTATTGAATAATGGTTATTAAAAAGCACTTTTTGAAAGTCAAATGCTATGCCGCGCCGTCACTTAATACTGCGGGAAGATCTTGTACGAAAATGCGGCAAAAAAAAAACTACACGAAGACTCTTTTTCTCTCAATAGTCACAGTTTAACCTAATAAAGTATAATCTATACAAATGTAAGTGCTTATGGGGGCTGATTAATTAATAGTCCGTTTTCTCACACTTATATTTTTTATTGCGCTAGGCACACAAAAATAAAATTCAATAACAGCACAATACAGAAGGCACAAATGAGTAGACAGGAATACAGTAATATATATGTACAAGGAAGAATTAAACTATACGAACTGCATAAGCTTGGGTATTAGGCAGACAATGGGTATGGGATACGTATAACGTGCAACGCGGAAGCGGACGAACTGGCGATCTGCTGTCCCGAAGGCGCGGGCTCAGCGACCGAACCAGTTTCACATTCCTTCGTTATGCAGATACATAAAAAATGCATGGCGCGTGTCTGCTTGTACATAATTTAATTTATTAATAGGTACTATCTTACAAAATTTACGCCATATTTATTAACAATTGAAAAACCTTAATAAATAATAGAACATAGATTAATAATACTTAAAATTTATTTATAAAATATTAATATTTAAAACTTTCAACAAATAAAGTGTAAAACTCGCCACATCACCCCCCTTCCAGAGGCCTTGTTATGGACGATAATAGTCAGGAAATTGAACCCTACGGCCTGATCGAGTACTGACAATATTTCTTTCTGGGTGTGGAGGAGTGTGTCGGTTGTTCAAAATATGTTTACTTTGTGTGTGATTTTGTATGTGTGATTGTGTGCTTGACTGTGTTTGTTCAGGTTTGTCTGTAGGTTGCAGTACGTAGGCGGGCTTAATTCGGTCTATTGAAACCGAGATTTTATTACCATTCATTAGTAACTTAAATATTTTGTCTCCTCTTTCTACTACTTCATATGGGCCCGTGTAAGCTGGTTTTAAGGAACCACCTATGGTGTCGTCCCTAACAAAGACGTTGGTCGCCGTAGCCAGGTCTTTAAAAACGAATATGGGTCGTTTTTTACTACCGTGATGTGAGGTAGGGGACGGTTGCAATTCTTTGACAAAATTGCGAAGACGCGATAAGTAGTCTGTTACGTCGATCTGTGGGGCAAATAATTCGCCTGGAAGGCGTAAAGGTTGCCCATACACCAACTCCGTAGATGACGCCTTGATGTCTTCCTTAAAAGAACTTCGGATCCCTAATAGAACGAGTGGAAGGCAGTCAACCCAGTTTTCACTCGCATGACAGATGATAGCAGCCTTCAACTGTCGGTGAAATCGCTCCAATAATCCATTGCATGCAGGGTGATACGCTGTTGTTCGTCTATGCCTAAATCCTGCGATATCAGATAGGCGCTTAAAGAGAACAGATTCAAATTGTCTACCACGGTCTGAAACTATATCCGTCGGGCAACCAAAGCGTGATATCCAACCACTCAGCAAAGCTGTAGCCACGGTCTCAGCTGTTATATCAGGCAGGGGTATTGCCTCGGGCCATCGCGTGAAGCGGTCAATGGCTGTAAGGCCATAGCGGTAGCCTTGGGATATAGGTAGGGGCCCGATTAAGTCAATATGCAAAAACGCGAATCTTGACTTTGGCAAGGAATAGTTACCGATGGGTGCAGATACGTGGCGTGTGACTTTGGCTCGCTGGCATTGCAGGCAGGCACGTGCCCACTCTCGGCAATCTTTGCGCACTCCAGGCCAAACGTACCTTTCGGCAACGAGTTTTGCTGTGGCACTACCGCCTGGGTGGCTTAGTGAGTGCAAGTTTTCAAAAACCAGTTGACGCAAACTCTTCGAGACGAATGGTCTCAAGGTGTTGCCATCGTCGTCACAGTATATCTCCACGTCTGAGCCGGGTACTCGTACTTTTCGCAGTTGGAGGGAATTCTTGGATTCCAGCAATAGTTTTAATTCGCAATCAGCTTGCTGGCATTGGGCTATCTTTTCGAGACTTATGGGTTGTGCGATTTCCTCGACTCGTGACAAGGTATCGGCGACCACATTATTTTTTCCTGCAATGTGCCGTATATCGGTACTGAATTGCGAGATAAAATCTAAGTGTCGAAACTGTCTCGGTGAGCAGTTTTCTTTCCTCGTTAGGAATGCATGAGTTAGGGGCTTGTGATCCGTGTAGATCACGAAATCCCTAGCCTCAATCATATGCCGAAAGTATTTGATGCTTTTGTAAATAGCGAGCAATTCTCGGTCATAGGCTGAGTATTTCTGCTGTGCTGAGCTGAGCTTCTGAGAAAAGAATGCCAAAGGTTGCCAGTCCTTACCTTTTAGCTGCTGCAAGGTTGCGCCAATCGCTTTATCTGATGCATCGCTGACCAGCGCTAATTTTGCGTCACACTCTGGGTGCGCTAGCATGGTGGCTTGGCAGAGGCTTTCCTTACAGGCATTGAAGGCTTCATACTCTTTTTTGGTGAAATTAACCAGATGTGAGCCTTTGACTGATCCCGTAAGCAACTCATTGAGGGGTGCCTGATGTTTAGCAGCTTCTGGGATGAATCTACGGTAGAAATTCACCATTCCCAGAAATCTGCGTAGCTCTTTTATTACCTTTGGCGCAGGAAAATTCATAATGGCCTCAACCTTGGAAGGGAGAGGCTTAGACCCTTCGGCAGAGATGTCTATCCAAGAAAGGTCACCTCTGGCACACCGAATACACATTTGGCTGTATTTATCACCATCCCATACTCTCTAAGCCGGTCGAACACCTGGCGGAGATGTTGTTTATGTGTCTCCTGGTCCCTAGAGAAGATCAAAAAATCATCTAAATATGCATACGTGAAATCCAGTCCCCGGAGCATTTCGTCCACGAAGCGCTGGAACGCTGGCCCAGCGTTCCGAAGGCCGTACGACATGAATGGGAACTCGTAAAGCCTGAACGGTGTCTTGATGGCAGTCTTCGGAATGTCCTCTGGACTCACAGGAATCTGGTTATAGGCTTTAACCAAATCGATTGTAGAGAACACCATACAACCTGAAAGGCTAAAAGCAAAGTCCTGAATATGGCGTATCGGATACTTGTCAGGGATGGTTCGGGCATTGAGCATGCGGTAATCGCCGCATGGACGCCAACCATTCTCTTTTTTGGGAGCGAGGTGCAGTGGTGATGCCCATGCCGATTCTGAAGGTCGGCAAGTACCAATTCTGCAACATTGCTTCGAATTCGGCTTTAGCGATTTTCAATTTATCTGGTGCTAACCTGCGTGGCGTGCAAGAAACTGGTGGACCTGGTGTTGTTCGTATGTGGTGTATTGTGCTGTGTGTAGGTGTACGTTGAATACCTGGTGGTCTGGTAATGTCAGGATATTCTGCGAGTATGTTGTGGTAGGCTGTATTTCCTAACATTATTTTTACCGAAGAAACATCATCAGAAAATTGAGCAAGCGAAGCCGCGGTCGCGAGGGTTGTATTACTGTCTATTAAACGTTTGTTGCGTACATCAACTATAAGATTATAGTAAGACAAGAAATCTACTCCTATTATCGCCTTAGTTACATCGGCCACAACAAATTGCCAAGGAAAGTCGCGGCGTAAACCTATATTTAAAACTAAATGAGCATAACCATAGGTATTAATTGTAGAACCATTTGCTGCACATAGTTCAAAATTAGTTTTTTGGCGATATTCTTTTAGAGCAGAACGCGGAAACACACAAAGATCACTTCCGGTGTCCACTAAAAACTGCATTTTGGTGTGTTTGTCCGTAATAAATAAGCGGCCGGTGCTTGGGCAGTCAGCAGCCGCCATTAACGACTGCCCGGTGCATTTCCCGCGTAGTCGCAAGGCTTAACACATTTATTTGCCTTTTCGCCAAATTTGTAGTGATACCAACATGTAGGGAATTTTCTATAATTCGATTGAGATCTAGTTGATGACGATCGGTTACGCTTACCTCTGCTAGAGTTGCATCTTGTCCTCGAGCGCGGCATTCTGTCTAACTTTGTTTGTAAGGCGTGAACTTGACGCGTCAGCTATTTGATTGCACATCGTACTTAAGTCGCTGGTTGATCTTGAGGTTGCTGCTACTTGCGGGCTAGGTGCGACGACGTCGTGTATCCTGTCTGCTAACTCTGCCACCTCTTCCAACGAAGCTTTCGATTGTGATGCAATGATGGACTGCGTGCTAGTTGGTAAGCGACTGGTCCAGATAGTCCTCATGAAGTTTTCCGGTACGTCAGGGCCTGCTAGCTGCTTCAGGTGTCTTAAAAATTGTGAAGGTGTTCTATCACCTAACTCCTCGCGGGTCAGTAGTTGCATGACTTTCTTCTCTCGTGACGCTGTTAGCCTCTTCACAAGTTCCGTCTTTATCCGCTCATATTTGTTTACAATAGATGGGTCAATAATTATATCTTCGACTTCCGCTGCGTAAACTGGGTCAAGATTGCTCATTGTGTGGTGAAATTTTGTGGTATCCGTGGTAATATTAGCCAGCACAAATTAACTTTCAAGTTGAGCAAACCACAATGCCGGTTTTTGTGCGTAAAATGGCGGCGCGCGCGATGATTTATGCCCACGCGGCATAAATCATCTGACGGTCCGGCATTATTTTCGGCGCCGCTGGTGCTACTGCCTGCACCATCACTTTTTCTCTTCTCACTCATGGCGTGTACAGTTCGGGGTCACCAATGTAAGTGCATATGGAGGCTGATTAATTAATAGTCCGTTTTCTCACACTTATATTTTTTATTGTGCTAGGCACACAGAAATAAAGTTCAATAACAGCACAATACAGAAGGCACAAATGAGTAGACAGGAATACAGTAATATATATGTACAAGGAAGAATTAAACTATACGAACTGCATAAGCTTGGGTATTAGGCAGACAATGGGTATGGGATACGTATAACGTGCAACGCGGAAGCGGACGAACTGGCGATCTGCTGTCCCGAAGGCGCGGGCTCAGCGACCGAACCAGTTTCACATTCCTTCGTTATGCAGATACATAAAAAATGCATGGCGCGTGTCTGCTTGTACATAATTTAATTTATTAATAGGTAACATAATTTAATTTATTAATAGGTAATTTAAGATAAAGGTCTTACAAAATTTACGCATATTTGTTAACAATTGAAAAACCTTAATAAATAATAGAACATAAATTAATAATACTTAAAATTTATTTATAAAATATTAATATTTAAAACTTTCAACAAATAAAGTGTAAAACTCGCCACACAAATAAATAAAACTGAAGTGTCTGTTTGTAATGTCAAAATAACAGTTTTTTACTAAATGCATATGAAAGTATATATGGTACTTATAACAAAAACGATTTTTAAAAATATTGTCTGTCTGCTTGTTCCGGCTAATCTCCGAAACGGCTGGACCGATTTTGACGGGACTTTCATTGGCAGATAGCTAATGTTATAAGGAGTAACTCAGACTACTTTTACTTTAGAAAAAGATTTAGGTTCCGCATAAAAAAAAAAAAAACCAAAGTACACGCGAGCGAAGTCGCGGGATACAGCTAGTAATATACATAAATAAAAAGTCTGTCATACGATGTCTGACTGTCAGTCCTATATACTTATCCAAGATACGAAAAAATAAAATGTAAACTAATCATAAAAAGGGTCCTAACGGTGCCGCCTTCACAATCCTTAACGTTATAACATAGCATAGTATTATTTTAGAATCTATCTTAGAATTCCAAACAGAATATCTTACATTTTTGAAAAACAACAATATGTATTTCATCATCATCATCATCATTACAGCCCTTCACAAGTCCACTGCTGAACATAGGCCTCCCCCAAAGAATGCCACAAAGCACGGTCCTGAGCCACCTGCATCCATCGACTTCCTGCATGTCTTACCAGGTCGTCACTCCATCTCGTGGGGGGACGCCCTACACTTCGCCTACCGGTACGAGACTGCCACTCGAGAACCTTTCTTCCCCATCGGTTGTCGGTTCTTCGAGCTATATGGCCGGCCCACTGCCACTTCAGCTTACTAGTCCGTTGGGCTATGTCGGTTACTCTGGTTCTACTGCGGATATCCTCATTCCTAAGTTTATCACGCAGAGAAACTCCGAGAATAGCCCTCTTCATAGCTCGCTGAGCGACCTTGAGCTTCCTCATACGGCCAGCAGTGAAGGACCACGTCTCAGTTCCATAAGTCATCACTGGCAACACGCACTGGTTGTACAATTTCGTTTTCAGGTTTTGAGGTATGTCTTTGGTCAAAAAAATATGTATTTGGTCAACCTTAATATTGACAAAAATACATTATGTAGATTTCATATTTACAAGTAGCGGCATGAAAGTCTCGCGGTTACCGTTATTGCGCATAAGTCGCGCTAATTGGCTCGTGCGTATCGTTCGCTCGCGCTGATTGGCTCTCCAATCGCATTCGTGCAATTCAATTCGTGCGCGTCCCCTCCACGTTTCGTTCAGCGCTAGTCTTACGTGTTGCGACTTGTACCTCGTAACGATAAGCGAAGTGTAGGGAGTCGCAGGAATACAGGAAGCCGAATAAATACAGGTGGCTCATGGCCGTGCAGTTCAGCAGTGCACTTGTGAAGTGCTGTAATGATTATGATGATTATAATAATAATAAGTATAATAAGTATTTATTCATTTTTTTTTCCTTTACTACCAATAAAGTTAAAATGAGTACATACAGAAATGACAAGAATTACATAATGTAGTAACGAATGGGCTCTAGCTCAGCATAAATGTTGCAGTTGCCTACAACGCTGTTATTCTGCCAGCGCCCAACATATGAACAGTACAGTACGCGCGCATCCCTTTAATCACAACTATTCACATTAGGGTACATACCGTGGATCCCCGACTATTAGCCAGTTCAAATTAATAATCAAATATATATATATATATTTTTATTACCATTTTTTTTTTAATAAATAATTATTACAACAATATAACTAATAATAAGTAACATAAATTATAAAATAATATTGATATTAACAAGCCTAACTTCTTTAATCTCATATATGTTGTTTCCCCACCTACTACACAGCTATTATTAACATGTTTATTATTTGTTTTAAGTATTTACAGGGCGGTCCTGCAATTAGGTAAAAATAAGCCGCTTATGACAGTATAAGACAGATAAAGAACCTAAAACGCCTAAATTACCAAACTTTATAGACGTTTTATGCTAACAATTTTAAGTGTACTACAAAAGTGACTATTTTACATTGGAAGTGGTGTTTCTATAATGAATCTGATTATATCTGCTGTTTCCTTGTTTCGCTATTATTTCTGTTGTTATTTTTCTTTCTTATTCTTGTTTTTTTTTTTTCTTTCTTATTCTTGTTATTTTCATGAAATGAGTGAACCTTGGCCGAACAAGACATATGATAATCACCTGTATCATTTTTTTTTATAGGAGAGGGGGAAAACGAGCATGCGGCTCACCTGATGGTAAGTGACTACCGCCGCCTATGAACAACTGCAACACCAGGGGAATCGCAGATGCGTTGCCGGCCTTTTTAAAAGGAGTACGCTCTTTTCTTGAAGGTCCCTAAGTGGTATCGGTCCGGAAAAATCGCTGATGGTAATCGATTCCACAAGGAGGTCGTGCGAGGAAGAAAACATCTTCTAAATCGCACAGTGGTGGACCGCCAATCATCCAGATGGTGTGGATGGTATCGGGAGTTCTGCCGCGATGTGCGTTCGTGAAATTTGGCGGCTGGGATTAATCCGAACAATTCCTCAGAGCACTCCCCATGGTAGATGCGAAAGAAAATGCAAAGGGATGCAACATCTCTTCGCAGTGCCAATGAATCGAGCCGATCGGAAAGGGCTCGGTCGTCGACGATTCGAGCAGCTCTGCGTTGGATGCGGTCAAGTGGAAGGAGCTGGCACTGGGGAGCCCCTGCCCAGAGATGGGAACAGTATTCCATGTGAGGCCGAACTTGCGCCTTGTAAAGTTGCAGGCGGTGTGCCGGCATGAAATACTGTCCCGCTCTGCTGAGCACGCCAAGCTTTTTAGAGACCAATTTGGCCTTCCCTTCCAAGTGACCACGAAACTGCACGTGGAAACATGGACGCGGAACAATAATTTGTATCATAGAAATACTTGTTCCCTGTGGGATTCGAACCCGCGGCACTTAGCGCTGCAACTCAGTTATTTTTTTGTATGTTGGATATGTTATAGGAACAGCGATTAGGTATCACTGAATTTTATCTCCATCTGCGCTTAAATATCCATTACTTACATGGAACGTGAATTAAACAACTGACATATTCAACGAAATTGTTTCTTTCAATTTTCAGTATTAAAGTTGTTTAGTCTTCTATATTATAGTACACATAATAGATTCCCATAGTACACATAATAGATTTATCTTTAGGCGTAGAGATAACGACAAAACCCACGTGATCGAAAAATGTTAAGGATATGCTAAGCTTGCTAACACTGGTAGCAGAGGTACAGACTAAGCAACTAAAAGTCAAGTGTTGTTAACATCAAGCCCGATGGCCCTCTACTGGGTAGGCTTCTAACACTGGTCGTTACGAGGGGCACACTAAAATGATCGGGAATAAGAAAAACCACATGCACGGTATAGCTAAATTGTATTTTATTGTTTTTCGAAGTATTCTCCGTTCAACTTAATGCACTTTTCCATTCGTGCAAACCTATCATTAAAACAGTAATTCCAGTTTGAAGTTGATGTTGACAAAATGGCTGATTTGTACGCTTCCACAGCTGCTTCGGGGTCTTCAAACCGTTGACCGCGTAATAAATCTTTCATTCTAGGGAATGTAAAGAAATCGTTTGGGCTCAGGTCAGGACTGTACGGAGGATGGCTCATTAGCTCAACGTTTTCTTGCTTCAAAAAATCATTCCGAGCCGTATGGGAGCTCGCATTATATATACACGAATCTGCTCGTATGTCACATGACGGTCATCTAATATAATAGTTCGCACAGCTGCGATGTTTTCAGGCGTGACCGCTGTTCTTGGTTGACCTGCAGAAGAAGCAGTATTGAGTGACACACGACCGCGTCGGAACTCAGCATACCAGCGGTATATTGTCGTTAGACTCGGTGCTTCAACATCATATATCGAAACAAGTTCGCTGAGACATTTATCTTGAGATAGGCCGCGACTAAAATTGTGATAAATTATGGCACGTAAATGTTCACGCGTGAGCTCCATTTCTATTAACGACGTGTCAACTTTAAACCAACATAGTTGTTTAATTGTCATTAAGATTCTAAGAGGCCAGTACTCAAATTCTAAAAAAGGTTTTATTGTAACTCAATCCGAAATATTCTATTCCCGATCATTTCAGTGTGCATGCCATAAACAATAGCGATCGCAGTAGCAATGCTTCTTCCCCCATCGCCAGTTTGCACCATGTTGGATGCCACACAAATTAAATCACTTGATTGAATGGAATAATAAAAAAAGAGAAAATAAAAAATCAATGGTTTAATAAAGACCAGCTTATAACTAGGCACACATTACGTATCCACAACATAATTGGGATGAACAACTAATAATGGATCATCTTCTATTTCCTGCTCTGATGATTTCTGAGTAGCCTTTAAACCGGTGGTTGACAGTGGAATTATAACTTGATCCTACACAAAAATAACAATAAATTAAAATACTAAATTTAATTAAATAATATTAAAATACGAAAATGTTTACAGTACACTAGAATGAAATTCAGCCAGGGTTAACATTTCAGTTATTCAATTAAAGTTGTTTTTTTTTGTCCTTCATAAAGAACTTGAACTTCTTTACCAAGTTGTTTATTTCATCTGATATGGTTAGAAGCGGGAGAGAATACAAATTTTTACTAAAAACGTTATAATAAATGTAACTTACATGATACATGAGCCTATCAATGACCTTCTCAACCAATGTTTTCCTTTCTAGTAATTCGTCCTCATTTTCTATTTGGCCTTGCGTCACTAGCTGCTCCAAATACCAGTTCACTACTGCACTTTTCTTCATACCCGCACTTTCTTCACCTGAAAGCAGTATGGTTAAGTTATTTTATTAGCCTATTAAAAATAATTAACTAATAAATTTATATTAAACGTACAGTCAATTTGGGTAACTTAAGCCTTCAATATAACATTAGCCCGAAATTGAAATTGCGCATTTTTATTTTGTTTTGGTTTCGATGTTATTTATTTGAAACAAACTTTGTAAACAATGTGTGAAAAATATCTTTGTAAACGCGCAAAACTCGTGAACAACTGACATCTGTCATAGTTTATACGTCAGTAGGTCATTTTGGTTGAGAGTACTTGACGGTTTGTTTTGTGTGCGCCAAAAAGTTGTCTGCTGCATTGCTATTTAGTAACGTACAGAGGTAAGTATTAATTTCAATTGAATATTATCCACTTCAAATGTCTGCTCTTATATAAAACAGGAAAATCGCGATAACCTTGTAAAAAAGGCACAAGCCCAGGAGAAGATTATATTATAGAGATTTGAAGTTAATGCTGACGGTGAACTGGAGCCTCAGGTGGTTAACAATACATTAAAAGCTGTGGATCGTTATTGTATTGTGAACTATGAAGGAACCCTATTTCCATGACAAATATCGAATGTCAAATCATCCGAAATATAAAGTTTTATTTCTTCTGCTGCTGAAGAAGAGTGGATTCGGCCTAAAAGATTGAATGTGTTTTAGTGAATGACAAAGATATCATTAGAGTCCCGAATGAAAACCAAATTAAAAGATATAAAGGATATTACTCAATAGAAGACTTCTTAGCTATGGAATGGGGTGATTAATTATTAAGATTTTGATCTCATTTTCTGTAGGATTAAGCAAACTTCTCTATATTGAAAAAAAAAATTTTTTTTGGTTGTTTTTAGTGCCTATAAGTAATTGTATGAAACATAAGTTCCTAATTGTTGACTAAATAGATATTAATAAATATTAAATCCTAATAAAATAATAATTCCGAAATATTTTATATCATTTTTATTATTAATATGATTGCTGGATACGATTTCTTCAAATTATATTTAAAAAAAAAAGATTTCATGCGACAAAACGTTGGAATCTTGATTTTTAGGCACTAGTAGAACATACCTATGCGCTTTGCGCTCGGAATGCAAAACAAATTGTCTTAGAAAACTTTGTCTATGGCTGTCGGCAGTATATTTATTAACACCAATTCGTAGGCCAATGTTAACTAAACGTTATAAATGCCATAAAATAAACGAAAACAATCAATAGTTGAGACCTGAGCCAATCCAAGCCCAACTCATAGACTAACTTAGGTCCATAGGAATTTAAAGTTTTTCACCAACTTTTTCTTAAAAACTGATAATAAGTGGTAATACTTTTGAAATATAGACCACCTAAAGCCACTAAAACGTTTATATCCCTAAGCCTAAAGGACTAACCTAAACATTTATTAACAACAAACAAGATAGAAAGCAACTTTAGAGCGTTTATCGTTAAAAGAGAACTCTTTGTTGTATCTCCTTAATTTTAGGACTCCACTTGTTACCACAGCCCGCATCGGAATCCTCGGCGTTAACATATTGAATGATGGAAAATCTTGCCTTGTTAAGTTGTGGGACAGTACTTCATACCGGCAAAACGCTTGCTGCTTTTTAAATATTGTTCTCATCTTTAAGCCGGGGCATCCAAGTACCAATTTCTTCCACTTGACTGCAATCAGCTAAGAACAGCCCGAATCGTCGATGACTGAGTAGTTTCTGATTGGCTGGCCTTCCGAAAAGTTGTTGGATTTTTTAATTGCATTACTATGAAGGGTGCTCCCAAGAATTGTTCGGATTAATTTCAGCTGCCAACTTTCACCATCAGACATTGCAACAAAATTCTCAATACCATCCTAACCATTTGGATGATTGGCAAGCAAATACCGGACGATTTTCTACGAGTTTTCTTCTTCGCATGACTACTTAATCGGATCTGATATCACCAGCAATTTTTCCAGGCCAATATAATATAGGAACCTTTAAGAAAAGAAGTCTACCTTCTTCCTCGAGGGTCAGCAAAGTTCTTGCAATTCCTCTAATGTTGCAGCTGTTTATATTTGTACACTGCCTCTTGTATTGTGAAAATAAACCTTATTCAAGTGGCGTTTTAAATAAAAATATACTTGCCTCGAGTTTCAGCCTCAGCCTCCTCTTTCCTCATGAAAACGACCAACATGTCACTGAGTGCTTTGTATTCTTCAAACGACAACGTTAGCTTTTTCTTTGGCGCAGTATCTCCATTCACTGTCTTTTCTGCTAAAATTTTATAACGATGTTTATGAATGACGTTACGAAAATTAATGAAAATTACATGACGACTTAATTGCATGGACTTCTTCACTTTGTTAAGGTTTTTTATTTGTAATTTGGAAGAATTACACAATGGACACTTTGATGGTGATATTTATTACATTTTTGGTAATACAATTTTGTAAAAATTAGTATGCAAATACCACAATGGAAAAGATTCTAAGGTAAAATTGTGCTGGATTGCTAAACTATGGATATATTTTTAAGATTCTTTCTCCAAAACACCACCAAAACTTTTTAGAAATGCTATATGAAAATACTCCCACATACAATATTATGGGAGTACATATTTATTGTCCATGTCTCTGATACTCAAGTCTATCCCTTTTCTATTACATAATTATTACATTAAACATAGGTACAATTACAACATTAACAAACAATTAAAGTGTAAAGCGTGACATAACCTCAATCTTCTCTACGTGGCGTAGCCCCATTTTCATTTTTGTTTACAGACAGATGAAGAATAAAAAGTACAGGGAAAAGAGAAAGAAACTCACCCGTGCTGCCATCGGGCGTTTCTTGATCAACATCCATCATAGGTTCATACTGTGGTTCATCTTCATCCAAATGAATATCTGGCTGCTCCACACGAATTATTGATTTATTTAGTAACCTGATAAGTTATAATAAATAATGTTACATAATTACGTAACACATAACTTTGTGTTATGTAATTGTTTTTTTTTTGTTGTTGTTGTTGCTTATTAAAAACTAAGCAATGGCGAGTTTCCATAACCAGCATCAGAAAGTCCAGTATTCATACAAATAACAAAATAGGTAAAAGGGGGGGGGGGGGGCAACTCTTTATTCCTCTGTTTCTCTCTGAGCCTACCTCTAATCTGATCACGTAAGTCTAAGTTTAAGGACTCATTTGAGACCATCACATACTGCTACACCACACCACCACACAGTGGGGCATGTATCCTATGTAATCCTCGCAAAAGAACACAAATAGGTAGTATACAAAAGAATAGAATTATTTTTTATTTAAACTAGCGGATACCCGGCGTGTGCTACTACTGTAAAAATAGAAATACATTTTGTTTATTTCTTGAAAAAAAGAAAATAAACGTATATATCTAAAACCATCTTCGTATTCTTCTTCTTCTTCTTTCTTTTTTATGGCGGTTTTGATCATTCGCCAATGTCAGCGTGAAAGCGTTTATTGAGTAGAAGCTCAGTAGTTACAAATACTATGCCCATATACAAGAGAAGATTGTGATAGTACAAGTATCTTTTTTCCTTTAAACCAATTTTTTCCCCTTTTATCTTGTAGTACTAATGGTTATACTGTTGAATTACCTAGAACAAATGACAAACACGGTTGCTATAACTACATTAGTATGTTAGTATTGACAAACATTAAACTTTTATACCATTAGTGTTAATAAAATCACACAGAATATATACATAAGGAGTGTTTGTGTAGGTTAAAAGTGAATCAAAATTTATAGGACGAGGGATGTCAGGAGGGAGATAATCATAGAGTGAACAAGATAATTTAGGACAGTTAAAAAAAATATGGTCGGAGGTTCCCTCATCCAACCCACATTCGCAGAGGGAACTATCCCTAATCCTCAGTTTGGCCAAATGTACTGGTGTACAAGCGTGGCCAATTCTAAGTCTACAAATAGTTGATGTAGAATGTTTATTAGCTTTATTGAATTTGAAAAACCATGGTTTTGGAAGGATGGCACATTGTATAGCAGCATAGTGTTTACCTTTTATATTTTGAGTGGCTTTCCATAGTGTATTCCAATTATTATTTAACTTCTTCTTTGCAAGTAACACTATGTCTGAGGAGTAAGTTAAATTACATGGCAAACCATTTCGACTGGCATTTTTAGCCATCAGATCAGCTGTTTCATTGCCCTTGATGCCACTATGACCTGGAATCCAAGCTAAGGAAACCTGTATGCCCTTGAGATGACATCTATACAATGTGTGTTTAATTTTGAGGATCAAGGGTATCTTATATTTACTTTGGAATTGGTTTGACAAAATTGCTAACAAACAACTTTTGGAGTCGGTAAGAATAACTGACTTATTTAAGTTGTGTGCTTCTATATATATTAAAGCTTCATGAATTGCCGTGGCCTCGCCAGTAAAAGTGGAAGAAATAGAAGGGCATTTAAAATTAAGAATTATTTTGAATCTGGGAATCCAAACTGCTGCTCCAGTACAACTTTCATCTGACTTTTTGGAGGCATCAGTGTATATAATAAGCCAGCCTTTCCATAAATTATCTATGACTCTACTTACTTTACTATTTGCTATAGGGCAATCTTTCTCAATACCAAGGTCGAGGTGGATATTTGGTTGGAAAATGATTGCATCATATGGGATATCAAATATGGGGCAGGACTTGAATTGTGATACTGGGTATGGTAGGTGGAGTAATGTTACCAAACTGTTGGATAAGCAGGGAGATTCTTTATGAGACCAGTAATGTTTTGACGAAATATATTCCAAAAGGAGGTGTAGTTTAGAAATGAGAGGGTGGGAAGAGAGTTGGTAGATTTTAAAAAAGTATCGGTCCGAAAGATATTGCCTTCTTAGATAAAGGGGAGGGTCCACACATTCAACTTGGAGAGCATTTATTGGGGAAGATTTCATTGCCCCGATGATTATACGAAGGCTTTTGGATTGAATCCTGTCTAGGATCTTTAGGGAAGACTTATTGCACGGTTCCAAAACAAAACATCCATAATCTAAATGACTACGGATAAGGGCGTTGTACAGTATTTTTTGGGAGAATGGGTGGGAGCCCCACCAGACACCCGATAAAGCGCGAAGAATGTTTATATTTTTTTCACATTTTTTGGAGACATAGTTGATGTGATGAGAAAAGGCTAGTTTGGAGTCGAGAATAACTCCTAAAAATTTTACACTCTCCCTAATTGGGATAGGTTCATTATTATAGAGAATGTTGATTTCAGGGACTTGCCTATGGCGAGAGAAGATTACAACACTGCTTTTGGGAACAGACAAAGACAAACCATGATCAGTTAACCAATCCTGTAAATAAGACATTGATATATTCAAGCGAGAACATGCTGCAAGGAGGTTATCTAGGGAAATATATATAGCTATATCGTCTGCATATTGGAGGATGTTACAGAAGGAGTTAACAGAAAGTTCTAAATCATAAGTATAGATAGAATAGAGTAAAGGACTAAGTACTGAGCCTTGTGGGAGACCCTTCCATACAATTCTTGGCGGGAGTAGAGAATTTTGACTGTCAATATAAATGGATCTAGAAGAGAGAAAGTTAGAGACAAAATTTACTATCCTCACTGGAATACTCAGATTAAGCATTTTTTGCCTGAGCACAGGAAGAAGTACATTGTCATATGCAGACGAGATATCTAGGAAGACTCCAACAAGGTATTCATGTTTAGAGTAAGCTATACGAATATCAGTAACTAGAGTACTAATGCTATCCATGGTGCTTAAGCCCTTTCGGAATCCAAATTGGCTTTTTGCTAAAAGATTTTTGCTTTCAAGAAACCATTCTAAACGATTTTTTATTAGGTGTTCAAGGATTTTGGCCATGGTGCAAGAAAGAGCAATAGGGCGGTAGCTTGCGGGATCAGTGTAGGGCTTACCTGGTTTGTGAATAGGTAAGATAACTTGGGATTTCCACTCTTCAGGAGGAATACCGGACATGTAAATATAATTCAAAATAGAAAGAAGATGGGCTTTAGTAGATTCACTGCTATTAGTAATAAAAGAATAAGGGATTCCATCGATTCCTGGTGAAGAGTCTTTAAGGACATTAAGAACAGAATATAACTCCTCATAAGAGAAAGGAGAGTCAAAACTGTGTTGATAGTGCAGGGACTGTGATTGGAATACTATACATTCATTGTAAGATGGTACTGAAGGAGGAGCAAGTTTACTAGCAAAATTTTCTAGCCAATAAGACTGATCATTAGAATTTGTGTTTTCAGGGGCCGAAACTGAACATCGGAATTTTTTTATATTTTTCCAGACCAGTGATGGATGAGTCCTAGGCGACAGTGACTCACAGAATTTAAGCCATCCAGCCTTTTTCTTTTCAGACAGTAATTTTAATGTTTCAGCAGCAGTTTTTTTATAAAAAATATAGTTATCAAAATTCATTGAGCGGGAATATCTTAGTTCAGCTTCCTTTCTCTTCTTGCATGCTACAGAACAATCTTGATCCCACCAAGGCGGTGAAGGAGCATTATTTTTATAAGGTTTTTTAATGGGAATTGTCTTATTTGCAGCAGATAAAATAGCATTTTTGAAAGTAGAATACACCTGAAGAACATTCTCTTTCTGAACCGTAGGGAGGGATGAAAGTTCTTCATCTAGAACTGTGGAATACAGATGCCAGTTTGCTTTGGATGTGTTATATTTTAACCTAGGTTTGAATGGAACATTGACTGTATAGGAGTTAGGAGGATTGATAACAATAGGAAAGTGATCACTGCCATGGGAAATGGGTAATATTCTCCAAGAAAGAAGGGATGACAGGGCAGGAGAACAGAGTGACAGATCTACTGCACTTTTAGGATTTTGGAGGGGGGAAACTCTACGTGTAGGTGAACCATCGTTAAGGAGGCAGAGATCTAAATCATCAATGATGTCTAAGAATGTAAAAGACCAGGGATCACAAAAATGGGAACCCCATAAAGTATGGTGCATATTAAAATCACCAAGAATTACCATAGGAGGAGGGATGGAGGATATAATCCTCGTAAGTTCCGATAAGATATTTAGATTAGGTTCGGGAATGTAAATAGAAAGGAAAGAAATGTTATGAGCTCTAACTGCAACAGCATTAATTGAAGGACTATGAGAAGGAAGGGAAATTAATGTATAAGTAATTGATTTTGAGATAAGAATGAAAGAGCCAGCATGACCATCACTTCTATCATCCCTGAGACATGAATAGCCTGAGACCCTAAAATGGGAGCCAGGCTTTAGCCATGTCTCCTGGATGGCTAGGATAAGGGGATGGTATTTATTAATAAGATATGTTAGTTCGTTTTTCTTATTTTTAATGCTCCGGCAGTTCCACTGAAGTATTGGAGGGAAGGTTATTTGTTAAGGAAATGAGCTCAGTAAGTTTTTGGCGGAGGGCGAGTGGGAGATCCATGTCGCTGAAACGGGAAAGCATACTTATAAGCATGGAGACCATCAGTTCGCAGAGATTATCATTAGGGGAAATACTTCGCCCTATTATAGCACAACCATTAGTAGATGAAGAAGGAGGGGTATTTATTATTGCCTCATGGGCAGATTTATCATATCCATGACTAGATGCTGGATTTGGCGAAAGTCTTGGAGTGAATGTAGTCTTCCTGTAAGAATGAGATTGTGAGGGGACAACTGAAGGTAAAGGAGGGTTTGAAATAGGACAGGAAGTCTGATGCTCATATGAAGGAAGGGTTCTAGCAGTATCTGCATAGGATCTACGGACTTGAGGGAAACGAGCAGATGCTTCTAGATAGGAAATATTTTCCTGTGACATTGTGAGTTTAATAGATCGCTGCCTAGAGTGTTCAGGGCAGGAGGGATCTTTAGCTGTGTGAGATCCTGAACAAAAAAGGCAAGTGGGAGACTGTCTTGTGCATGATATACCCTCATGATTTTGAGCACACACAAAACAACGGGAAGATGATCTACACTGTGAGGTAACATGTCCAAAACGGCAACATTTGTGACATTGAATAAGTGGTAAAATGTAGGGCTCAACGGGCATTGAGTTGTAAAAACAATAAATATTAGAAGGGAGTTTCTGGCCGGAAAAAGTTAAAAGGACTGTTTGAGAGGGAATCCACACAGTGCTTTGGTTTTCATTAAGTGATTTTCTATTAAATCGGCGAGCTTTAATGATTGAGCCAAAACCAGCTGGGACCTCGATTGATGAAATGAGTTCCTCTAATGTCCATTCTACAGGGACCTGCCTCACTATTCCCATGCGAGTGATACTATAAGAAGGGATTACAGCATCATATTTAGCACCTGCAAGGGCTGGGTTCTCAATAAAGCAATTTGCATCTGCTGCACTTTTAAATTCAACTGAGATTCTATTGCGCCCTACTCGCTTAACACCGTCGCTAACAACATTTTTAATATTATTATGGTAGAGAAAATGACCAAACTTTATCGGTTTTAAAACTACTCCAGATGATAAATCATCTACTATCTTACTTACATGTACAATAAAGGGCGCACTGTCGTTATTAGAGTATTTATGTTTTTTTTCAATGTAGTCAGGATGAGTATAAGAGGTCTGAATAGATGGTACAGGTTGAGATGGATCTGTAATTAATCTTTTCTGTGGATGAACTGAGTTATTGGTTGCTTGCGATCTTTTACGATTCGACTGATCGATCTCGATAGGCATATTTTTCTTTTTGGTACCCGCATGGGAGTCACATGTAACCCCGTCGGGATCGGGAGGATCTTCCTCCATTTTATTTTAACTACTTACATATATATACAACAACACAATTACTAAATACTTACGGATTTATAACTACTAAAACCAACACCACCAGAAATAGTAAACAAAAAAGTAAATCAACAGCTCTCAGAAGTACGAAATAGCCTAAAACAGAACGACACTTGTACACCTCACACCTTGACAACTTCAATCCAAACAGATAACTCCATCTTCGTATTATTGCCTTTCTAATGATTTGACAGTTTGGGGCATATTGGTTGAATGGTTTCAAAGTCTATTACAGACATAGGTAGACACAATTTTTGTGTTTTACATACATAGATTACAAAAATAAATATTATCAAGTCAATTATGCTTTTAAGATTGGTTTGGAAAATACCTCTGTCCAGGGAAGTGTGCGAATTTAGTAACTACATACTAGGGTTATTATCATTCATGTATTTCTCAATTCTCAATTGTCAATCAAAATTGTAAGTCTAATGTGGACTCTGCTAGAGACCTGTCCTCTTTACTTTATCTATCCACCTTAGTAAATACCCACCTCAATAGAAGAAGTACCTTCAAAAATTAATTAACTCAATTGAAAGAGTCATTTTTATTTAATTTTTTGTCATTTAAAATGTGAGGCTTTGTAACAAATTGAAAAACAATACCAGGCAACTACTTTTAAATACTGTCTGAAACTTAACCGTGAAAATATTGTAGCACTACAAGTGTACTTGCTAACACTCAGCACAATAACGACTAAAACTGACTTCAACAGAAACCAACCTGTAAGCTTCGTGTACATGTTGAGGAGCGACGTGACCACTACAATGCATCTTGGCCATGGCTTCCGCCAGTCGCACCATAGACTCCAGCTGGCGAACGGTGATACGCCATGATCCTCCCCCATTGGCCCCCCCACCATCACGAGATCGAAGAGTCGTGTAATAGTCCACTAGTAGCTTGCCCGCTTCCTGCAAACAAATACTCACATTACTTTTTGTATACTATTTTGGTTAGCCTATGAACAATTGTCTATCCATTTAAATATCTTTATCCATCAAAGGCTATAAAAATGTAAATACTGAATAATATAAAATCAACTATGTATAACCTACCTCAGTAATAATAGGCTTGAAAGATCTCGCAAAGGCGATGTACCTTAGCAGATCATCTCTTGTATAAACACAATCGTATGTCTCTTCTTTGTTACAATGCAAGTCCACTATCTTTCTGGCTATAGCGTAATCAACCATCTCACTGCTTTCATCAATGAGTATAAAGAATAGATCAAAACGCGACATAATCGGTGCACTTAAAGACACATTTTGTTGTAAAGATTTAGCACGATCGTAACGGCCCCCTATGGGGTTGGCAGCAGCTAGTATCGATGTTCGAGCGTTAAGTGTTGCCCTAACTCCAGCCTGAAATAAATTTTTTGTTAATTATTAATTGAATTAATTGTTAGGTTGCTAATTTAACAAATATATTAGTAAAATTGTATCTAATTTTTAACAATTTATTATAATATTAAATATTCCAAGAAGAAAAAAGTAATGAATTATTACTTTCCACAATAGAAAACAATCCTCATAAACTACTACCATATTTATACGATTTTTTAAAAATAAAAACATTATGTTTCAGACAGGATGTTTTTTCAGATACAATATATGAAAAACATCCTGTCTGATCCGGAAGGGGTACATATGACCGCAATATAACATCAAATAAAAAAATTACAATCTTAGTATTCAAGTAACTAATAATCATATCAATAAAACTAAAAGCACCCCCGGATCGAACAGGGTACATATTGTATAGTCTGGCAAAAGTACACTATACTGTAATCTGTTTTATCAAGGGACTGAAAGTATCACATTCAGTTAACGTTGTTTTGTATATGATTGTAGTTTCATTATTTTATTTTCGAATTCATTATTTTTATAGATAATAACTTACAATTAATAAATAAACAAACCTTTGCAATTGATATGGTCTGTTGCTCCATGGCCTCGTGAATAGCTACTTGATCGTGGAGGTCCATCTTATCGAACTCGTCTATACAGCACACGCCATTGTCAGCCAACATCAACGCACCAGCTTCAATTACAAAGTCGAATGACTCCTCATCCTTTAATAGCATACAAACACATTTTGATTTTAAAATAATTTTTAATAGTACTGAATTTTAGTAATTGATGTATAATTTTTAACACATTTAGTTGATGGATAATTTACAAATTTTTTTTTCTATTATCGATCTGTTCGCTGCTTCGGGGGGCAACTCTTTATTCTTCTGTTTCTGACTCTGAGCCTACCTCCAATCTGATTGCGTAAGTCTAAGTTTAAGGACTTATTTGAGACCATCACATACTGCTACACCACACCACCACACAGTGGGGCATGTATCCTATGTAATCCTCGCAAAAGAACACAAATTTCTACCAAGGACGTTTCGCGTGGTTATTAAAATTACAAATATCCAAATTCCAATAAAGAAAATGGCCCAAAATACTGCCATCTTCTTCGGATGTATAGTTAATAAAGTTTAATCCAAGTCCAAGCCTATCATTTGCAAGACCTCAATATACTGTAGGCTCTTTCTGGACCAAAAATTAATATTTAAAACCTAAAGGTAATGAAGTTACCGGTTTAACTATGGCATAAGGACATCAAATACCTTTAGACTCCCAGAGACTATGGTGAACATTTCATTGATATGTCGGGAATTAAAGTAAAATATAAATAGAATGTTTTCTATAAGTTGTGACAATTCTGATAAAAATTATGTTAAGTTTTAGTAGTAATTATCCAATATAATTTACCTTCACTACAGCTGCTGTAAGACCAGCCGCTGTTGATGCCTTGCCACTGGTGTAAACTGCTCGGGGAGTTATTTCGCTCACTTGTTTTAACAACTGAGATTTGGCTGTACTTGGGTCACCCACTATACATACATTTATATCGCCTCTAAGTGTTGTTCCTTATAAAAAAAAAATATTTACAAAACTTTATTCAATTTGTCTCTTAGTCAAAATCTACATTGTAAGATGAAATAAAAATTTTATCACTTCTGAACTTTCTTGGTCTAATACCCTCTCAGACATAAGGTGAGGACTAAGCCTAGGAGTGGTAGGTATCTAGGCTGTTACTTCACATTTTATTATCATCATCACAGTCTTTCACAAGTCCTCTCTAGCCTGCATTCATGAACTTCCTGTATGCCTTCCAGGTCGTTACTTCATCCAGTGGGAGTACGCAATACACTTCACTTGCCAGTACGAGGCTTTTTTTTATGAGAAAGGGTGACAAACGAGCACACTGTCCACCTGATAGTAAGTGGTTGCTGTGGCCCATAGATACCTACATCTATCTTTGATTACGAATCAAAATGCAGATGTGTTGTCACCCGTGAGGACTATGATAGAATGCCTCGTTTCACGTAAAAAGGGTCTCCAGTTCTGTATACTCACCATACGAAACACAGCAGCGTTAAGGTGGTGTTTTACGCTGGTATTCTGTGAGAGTGTGGTCCTTCCCCGGTCGAGCCGACCCATCCGTGCTACAACTATACAAAGCTGCAACATGGCACCTTTTTTCTCATCTATTTTCAATAATTCTTCCAGGTTTACGGCCGGCTCACAATAGCATCACACACAATCACAAGTTGATGACATAAATTTATTAGAGGTAAAAAATTGATTAGCTAAGAATCCACGTAAAAATAAAAATGATGTGTCTTACCTAGTGTAACAAGTACCTCCTTGCCTACCCTCAATTGCGTGTACTATTTACCACTAGCACTAAGTGTTGGGATTAGTGGTTATGGCTCCTCACAACACCTCTACACTATGGCATCACCAGGTGAAATATACTCTGTGATAGCTAAGTACTATGTCATAGACTGAGGCTAATTCATTTTTAAAATCTTTAAGATAATGAATTTCCGCAAAGTAATGCATGATTCTTACATTTCTATTTATTAACTTATTGAAAACTTCTCTTTTATAGGACGCAGGATTTTGTGGATGCAGTCTTTAATGGAGCAATTAGGAATATATCAATTTAATATAGATTACCAAAATACATAAAGATACCTTGTTCTTCGAAATATATAACATACCTTCAACTGTAACTTTGGCAACACCCCCAAACAACATGAGGAGAATTCCTCTCTTCACTTCATTGTTTCCATGGATACTTGGGAAAAGACTGGTTATTAGATTGTTGTAAAGATTACGATCTCTTGACATTTCATAAACCTTTAAAGAAAAATTTTATTAAGTTAGTTTTATGGCAACAATCTCCTTGTATCCTCTAACTTTTTTATCGTTTGATTTATAATATAATAGATAAAAATTAGATGTGTACTTAACACCGTATGTTAAAAAAATAAAAATTATATTTTTTTTTAAATCTTTCTTCACCTTGTCCCATTCTTTATCAGTCATCTGTTTTCTCATGTCTTCAGTGGTGAGGTCGTCAGTAGCAAGCTCTGCAGTGCCAAATCTACGCGATATTGCTTGAACACTACATGCGAGGAATGCGGTCCTATAAACAGAGAAGTGAATTTAATCAAGATATAAAATTCCGAATTATTTTACAGATGCAGAACCCTGCAAAATAAGCAGTATGGTTTTACTACTTATTTTGCAGACTTCTGCTATCGCCCGTTATTCATAGTTATCGATCGAGTGTCTGGTTTCCCTGGACTCACGTCATTGCTCAATTGGCAGATCAAAATTTCTAATACTAAAGTTTCCAAACAAAAATCAAATAGTGCCTAACCTTCTAGTAGGCAATACAGTTTTATACTAGAATCGACGAAAGGAGATGAATAAGTTCGCAGAATGGAAGCCAAGATCTATAAAGTTACACTCAAAAATGTTTCCCTTCTCAATGTAGTCATCCCCTTGGTATATTAATATACATCTTTCAAATCGACTAATTGACATAATTATGCCGCCAAAAAGAAAATGTTGAGCAATTTCTGTTCAAAATAATAAAAACTATGTACAAAACAATGACAGCAGGAAACTCTTTAGTCCAACATTTTCTTGATTAACTTGTTTAATCAACAATAGCTCAATCATAAATGATGCAATTGAAAATTTGGTATTTGTACTGCCCATGTTTCTTAATTAGTGCAAGTATAAAAACTGTTGACACTTGTTGTCACTGCAACCGAAATTCACTCTGGGGGACATTATTATTTATTATTATTTCATATATTTACACTATGCAGGTGAGGCAGATAAGCTTGACGCCGCTACCTATCGCGGATATTATCTGGCTTAAACAAGATCATAATCATATACTAGTCTTGTGTAGTTCGCGAACGATGAACGATTAGGAAACGTATCTTGCCACTGTACTAGAAGATACGTTTCCGAATGTAGATTGTTAATCGGTCTAACAGTTCTTTTCGTTCACCTACACTCACAAGACACCAACGCCAAACCGTGCGTGTGAGCCATGAAGCAAAGAACGACGCACGCAAACAGATTAACCCAGAATTGGTCAGCAGACATTCAAGGTAGACATGGCGTTAAATAAAATATTGGATATAAGGTTAATTTTATAGTAAATAATTATTACAATGCTTATTTTTAGACATGTGAAGCCACAATTTTAATGTAATATATCAAAAGAATACATGTATTGATGTTTTTAAGGAATATTTTCATTCGAATAACACTGCTTTGTAAACAGCCATCTACTCCATTGAATGAATGAATGAATATACTTTATTGTACACCACAAACAAATAAGCAAATTACATAACAAAAGAAAGGTTAAATGTACAATTTCGCGGCCTTATCGCTACATAGCGATCTTTTCCAGGCAACCAAGGCTGTAAAGGAATAAACAATAAATACTAGGTAGGTGGTGCAATATAATTATACAAAATATAATATCAATACATATGATATATAGACAATAAATGCAATAAAATAACATATAAATAACTAACACATGAAATGATATAAATTACTAATACATAACAAAAGATAAAGTAAAGCATATAATATATACATAAACATACATATATAAGAGTATATAAACAAACTTACATATCTACCCAAAATACATAAATAAATTACAAATTTCCTCAAACAATAATATAAAGCTGATAAATACAATAAATACATAATCTCATAATTATCCTAACGGTCTCCGAACGATTGAGACAAGTAATGTTCTTTAAGTAATCACTTAAAGATTACAATAGATTGTGCTTCGCATATATACAAAAGTAGGGCATTCCAGAGCTTAATAGACTGGACAGTGAAAGATTTATTAAAAAACTATGTTTTGTGAGTTGGTACCCTTAAAACGAATTTTCTAGAAGACCGTAGAGGTTCCCCCGGAAGCCCCACAAAATTAAACTTCTCTTTTAGATAGGGAGGAGCAGAAGGATGAAATAATACACAGTACAGAATAGAAAGAATATGCATGTTCCGGCAAAGTCGGATAGGTAACCACTTGAGACGTGAGCGAAATTGGGAAATATGGTCATATTTGCGCAATCCAAATATGAACCGGATACTAGTATTTTGAAGTCTCTCAAGCTTATTTAGTTGGTCCTCAGTTATGTCTACATAGCTTGCGTCAGCATAGTCGAGGATCGGAAGGAGAAGAGACTGTGCGAGCATAACTTTTGTAGGAATGGGAAGAAATGATCGAAGGCGACGCAGTGAACAAAGAGCGACAAAGGTTTTCTTAATTACCTCATTCAGTTGGCGTATCCAATTTAAGGAATTATCAATACAAATACCAAGGTTTTTGATATTGTCAAAGTAAGGGATCTTCAGTACAACTCCATCGAATACTATAGGTGGTACTGTGAACCAGTCAACTCTTGAGATAAAACTCTGGCTACCAATAATGATAGCCTGAGACTTTTTAGGGTTTGTAGGGTACTCGATTCAACAGGTATTAAAGTCATTTTGTCAAACGAAAGTTAATTGACTCTCAAGATGGCACGTAAAAAAGACGCTAGATGGCATAAATATAAAATTTAATATAAAATTGTAAATCACTAAGGTAAGAAATCGATCGCAGATTGTTTTGAATGGACTGAAATATGATAATTTTATTAATTATGGTTAATTTTATTTATTTAATAAATTTGTTATTTTTTATAACTAATTATTTTAACAGTTAAAATAATATATATTAACCATCTTTAATTCAAGGACAAGAGCCTATGAATGCCTCTCTGTAGCTAGCTACCTAAATCACATTGTCAGTTTACAACAAATCCCTTCTCTCTGCTTAGCCTTTTACCATAATACGCAGTGGCCAATAAATTTATGTAGGTATAGATAAATATTTTATTGCAGTACATAAAAATGGTATAATATTATCTTTATGCTATTGACTAGAATGGGAGTCCTAAGCCTGTTCAAATATGAAGGGAAATCAAATATTATGTCAAATTTTAAGTTAATAATATTTTTTATCACACAACTCGAGCACGACTCGAGCAAATATCGCCCAACTGAGACTGACTGCATTAACCTGTTTAAATTGCATCTATCAGTCTAACTGTTGACTGATTCAGTCAGTGACTGACTGACATAACCATTCCATAAAGATAGATAAAATTTAAACAGGTTAGTAGTACTGATGACCGAATTGAACTAATAGAACAGACTAGTTCACTGTCCATAATGTACTAGTACAGAACGATCTTTAAAATGACCAACCAGGCACAAGATTATCATATACAGTCTCATTTAATTATAACTGATGAAAAGAAAATATTTTCTTTGTCTTACTTATAATGTAGTTCACGTACACCTAAAGCTTTAAGTCCCTTGATTCCTTCCATCTGGCCTTCGTTTGCATGCCGTGTTCGTGAAGTGATTTCTGCTTTTGCACCAGGAAACGATAGTGAACCAACATCAGGCACTACTATAAGAGTCCCTGTGAAGTCATAACGGTCTCCTGCCTATAAAATATACAAAAATATTATTTTTGTAGATATTTAGTATATAGATTTTAGCACTATCACTTTGTTTTAAGAACAATTTGCAATTGCAGGGGTCTTGCAATTTTACATCTAACAAATGATGCTCCATGAAAGTTTTAAGAAGCAACACTGACAGATGGCAGTATAATAATGATTATACTGCCATCTGTCAGTGTTGCTTCTTAAAACTTCCATGGAGCAAAATGGGATGATGGTTTGTTTACTCACCCCTCCACATGTGTCAATAGATTATTTACAACTGACTACAATATATAAAAAAAATCACTATACCTGCACAGATTCCACTGCTTCTGCTCTTAATATAACCTCAAGGGACCTTGGTATGCAACCACGAGGTAACTCCGCTTGAGTCTCTTGTATTCTAATCTTCTGAAAGTCAACAAATACCGATTTGTCTGCATCAAGCATAAATCGGCGACGGTTGGCACATACTGGATTTCTGCAGATTGTTGGTATTGTATACTATAAATTAGAAAAAACAAATTTTTACACTCTATTACATTATACATTAAATAAAAGAGATGGGTGTGTGATGCAATTTTACTGCCATTATCATCTTGCCATTTAGTGATGAAGATAAGTATTTAAAATAATGATATTTGCAAGCCCATAATTTTTTTTTCAAAGAATTTTTGGAATTTACCTTTACAAAAACACCACTGCTAAAGAAAGTTAATGATGATGGCATTAGGTGTTTGCTATACAATTCTACTATGTCCAAAGAAATTAATTTGAACTTGACATCATTTGTTTTCAAATATATAAATCAAGTTAAGTTTACTAACATATTACACACTCTAGGGATTTCAAAATCAGACCCAATACCTATAAAATGTACACGCAAATTAATCTTCCAAAAATTATAATTAAAAATTGATCATATTAAGTAGATATTTAATTTTGTGGGTTCATACATTATTATTACTATGAATAAATATAGTAAGAATAACTTAAAACTATATGGTAATGTTCAATAAGGGTTAACTTTCTTTGTTCCTAAAGAATGGAAATTATGAAATTAACTCTTTTTACTTTTTTAAATAACACTTGAAAATTTCTGCCGCTGAGTATCAGAATAACTTCAGATTTCAGATTTTTTTTAATATTTCATGAGTCATGAAATGTTAACAAATTTTGCAATTTAATAGGGATGTATGATGTATATATTTGACCAGTATAATTTTTCAGTGTGTAGACACTTTGACGATTTAAGACATTTCACTAATATCAGTATTTTTCAAAAAATAAGACTTAAATTTCACAAACACTATTTAAAATATAAAACAGTCTTTTCAACACCACTGTTCAGATTGTTATTGTGAGAGTCAAGCTTTTAATTCTAAAGATTATCTAAGTACATAAAAAAATTTACCTATTTAATTTTTTAAAACAATTAACATCATATTTTACATTCCTTTTTAATATAAGTACCCTCCCTCATCATCATTATAGCCTATCATAGATCACTGCAGAACATAGGCGCCTCCCACAGATTGCAACATAGGGGGGATATTTGCCAGTTGTGATGCCTGGCACATTTACATCCAGTTCTTTTATTATTATGAGTTGCTAGCAAGATGGTGCAGTTTCAGTTTCCCTCTATCACCTTTTACGACACCAATGGGATGATTTGGATTAGTGTTGTAACATGTTTATTTTGAAACAACATTTTTATTTTTACCAAACAATAGAGCCACAGCAACTATATTATGGTTGTAGCACAAATGGGTTAGCTTGACCGGGGAAGGACCACAGTCACACAGAATACCAGTGTAAAATAACAGCTAAATGCTGATGTGATATAGTGAGTGTAGAGGAACCAGATACCGTTTTTACTGCAAATGTGGCATTCTATCTTAGTCCTCAGGGCGACAACGCATCTGCATTGATTCTTAATTGAAGATAAATGTAGGTGTCTATGGGCCGCAGCATCCACTTACCATCAGGTGGACTGTGTGCTCCTTTATTACACCCATTCTATAAATAAATAATTTGTTCAATTGTTACACCAAGTTTAGTTGTATTTACTAGGTAACACCTTACCTTAAATTGCTGTTCAACATTTTTAACAATGGTCTGACAGTCTAGGCAAACAAATGTTCCCAACACTAGTTCTGGGTGCACTGGATGTGTTCTTACAATTTGACCTGAAATTCTGATTAATGTACCAATTTTAGCTGTGGTCAATTCCCTCACTTTATGCCTGGTTGGCACATCTACAAAAGAAATATAACACTCTTTATCCTGCAGATCTTTTTTCATGCCACTATCAGCAAGGCTCAATACATAATTCAAAATAGCTTGGTTCAGAAAAGGATATATTCTATAATATTCCTCAATGATTGTGGTAGCAAGATTTTGATTATATTTTTCAACATCATCAAAGCTGACTTCTAAAGTACTCAATTCAGGTTTCAACAACTCCTTAGCTTGTTTCTCGTATTTTATTTCATTATCTTCTTTGAATCTATAAAAACATAGAAAAAAAGATTATTTATTTACAGTTTTTTTTTTTTTAAAGCAATAAAGGTAACAAACAAAGCACACAGTCCACCTGATGACAAGAGTTGATGATCTGAACTATAGACACTTACATCTATCCTCAAATAAGAATTAGAATAAACTATCACCAAAGAGAACCAAGGTAGAATACATTTCCTAGTATAAAGTTCATCTCAGTATAAAGGTCACCGGTAGTATCAATGGGCATTCCTCAGGGCTCGATTCTTGGTCCATTCCTGTTTTTAATCTATATTAATGACTTACCTTATCTTGTAGGGGACAATCACGATATAGTATTATTTGCTGACGATACCTCTTTAATTTTCAAACTCAAACGGCAGTCAATTAATTATGACGATGTAAATAATGCTTTATCGAAATTAGTACATTGGTTTAACGCCAACAATATGCTCTTAAACGGCAATAAGACAAAGTGAATTAAATTTGCAATACCTAATGTAAAACATTCGAATAACCATGTGCTGTTAAATGGGGAGGAGTTGAGTCTTGTGGAAACCACTGTTTTTCTCGGTATAACTATTTATACAAAACTTCAATGGGCCCCCATATGTCTAAATTAGCAAGCAGACTTAGTTCTGCAGCATATGCTGTAAGAAAGATTAGAAGTCTCACAGATGTTGAGACAGCTAGGTTGGTGTATTTTAGTTACTTTCATAGCGTAATGTCTTATGGAATTTTGCTATAGGGTAATGCAACTGATATTGAAGCTATATTTGTTTGGTATATTCAAAGTTTGTCAATAAACAAGTTTAAAAGTTTTATTAAAGAAAAACTGTACAAAAAGGGTTATTATAATATCAAGGAATACATGAATGAAAATAACCCCTGGGAATAAGGTGATCGCCACCATGCTAGTTCTATGAAAAATCATTTAAAAATTGGATAAACGAAATTATTGATGTGAAATATGTTTGAAAAAAAAAAGTACCGCTGGGTTCCTTGCTGGTTCTTCCCAGGACAGAGGTATATTCCAACCCAGTGGTAAATAAAAAATGACTTTCAATAAGAATTATGTAATAATCAATATTGAATAAAAAATTATTCTATTCTATTCCTCACTCACCATGCGAAACAGCATCAGGCTACTTGGCTATTTCACACTGGTTCTATTATAAGCTTAGCTAAATTATACTTTTTCATAACTTAATGATTAACTCTCAAATCATTACTACAGTAACAGTTTATTTCGCTTTTTATGACATTAAACATAATAATACTTACTCTTCTAAAAAGTCCTGGAAAAGCTTTTGGCACCGCACGCCAACTTCATCTTTCACTTGTCTTTGAGTAGCATATGTGTCTGCTACATCCATGATTAGAAATTTTCATGTACTTTACTTATATCAAGCTTTAACAGTTGCAATGTGGTAACAGCCAAACTAATATGTTTTTAGGCTAATGATGTCTTAAGCATTATTGTTTCAGGCCTAATAAGGTACCAAAATTACAAACACCAGCACCCGTAACGGCTTTATTAAACTTTGGGCCGGTAATGGCTGGTTATTATACTCTTTACTAAAGAGTTATGACATTTAAGTATACTTTTGAGATTTTTCAACTTTTAGTTGAATTTATTTGGATCGGTCCAACTTTTGAGGTTTGACATATCTTTGACATAAGTTGTTTTGGCGGGAATATTTTTTTTAAACTGGCTTTACGGCTCTGGGTTCTAGCCCTTCTGAGCCTTTTGGCGGGAATAATTTTAGGGCTGCCAGATAAAATTTTTGTTATATACCGGAAATTAAAAATTTAAGAAAAGAAACATATTATCATGAGGGTATCCACGAATTTTTCTGTCACCGCGGCGGTGTTACATAATTTTAAGGTGAAATATTTGACAGACTTATAGCGCGAAAAGTTAATTTGTTAGAAATATGTACAGATGGGTAGAGATTAATTTTTCTGAAATATTAGTTATAATTTATATTATTTCGTTCAACATTGTATTTACCATGGTTCACATCAGGCTTAAATACAATTAACCTGTGAGGCGTCCTTTGATAAAAAAAATGGTCCTATCAGTTTATCATTCAGTATTCCCGCCCAAATATTTACACTAAAGCTAATTTGACCTGTAATGTGTAACCTGTTTCGTAAATTTGTGGGGTTCCGAGTGGATCACCAATGATCGTTGAGCTGATTGAAAATCCGATTCGTGTAAACAGACTTTCGTCCGAGAACAACACGTTCACTGGGGGTTTAACAACACTCAATTGCAAAACGCCATCACCATCGCAGTCATCAGGTCCTGGGTCGTCCTGTAATAGTAGAGGTGCATTTCAGTTGAGCGCAAAATCTTCCAAGCGCATGACTGGCTTATACTGAAGTGACGTGCTGCGTCAAGCGTGCTCTGCGCACGTGGCTAAAACAAAAGCACAGACCGTGCCGCACTCGCACAGTGAGTCATTGCGCCGCACCAGCGCCTGCGAGACGTTATGCCGCACCATGCACTGGGAAGTCTCCACGGGAGCAGCAGGAGCATCTGAGGGTTCACCGGTATCGTGGGGGTTGTCATCATCGTGATCTGGGTGAAAAACAAGTAGTTAATTATCAAGACAACATATGTACACCGTTGCCTATCCTCTCATCCATCACGCATACGAGGCCCTCAAGCAGAAATATTAATACTTATTGAAAGGCATTTTTTATTTACCACTGGTTCGTAAAATACCTCTGTCCTGGGAAGAACCAGCAAGAAACCAAGCGGGACATTTTTTTAAACATAATTTCACTAAACAATAATTTTGTTTTTACAATTTTTAAGTGATTTTTCATAGAACCAGCATGTTGGCGATCACCCTTGTTTAGGCAAAATATTAACCGGTTGAAAATTGAATTCATAACGCGCGCTCGGAGCGCATAGCGCCGTAGCAAGGTCACCTCCGCCCCTCCACGCGTGCTCGCATTCCTTTCGAAGTCGGGTCGAACGGGACGTGTCGAGACATTCATTGTTAGGAACTGCCGGTTGATTGCTTACCGTGATTTGATTCGAGCTGCGTGACGACGAATTTTGTTAACGAATTTGTGCCGCGAAGAATAATCGTGTAGTCTAGAACATTAGCTTCCAGGTTGTGTAACTATTGAGAAGTTAGTGTTTAATTGTACAGTTGCGTTAAACGCCATAAAGGTCGCGATTGATTTCGAAACAATTTGTTGCGGAGTGAGCGAAGGTGAACTTTGACCTACAAGTTGTGCCGCGTGTTACGCTTTATAAGTAACGGGATTTAGTTGCGTCTTGAAGTTACTCAATTGTACGATAAAGTTAATAGACTGAACTAGTGAAGAAGACAGAAATTCACCGTGGTGAAATTCAAAGACGCCGCTGGAGATTACCACAATTTGGAGCGGTGCCGAAGTCCGGGCTGCTGCCGACTTCAACGGTCCCGTCAGATCAATCACAATCCACACCACTAAAAACACCACTACACGCAACACATACACACCTCCGGCCTGACCGAACCTTGAGACAGTCGTCGCCTCAGATACAGGTAAGTACTCTCCATTGGACTAGCCTTCCCCTTAAAGTGTAGTAGGATAGAACATTTTCCATAAACCATTTTGAGCCCCACACTTAGTTGTTCGTCGAACCCAACAGCTGGATGGGCCCCTGTCTGATGGACCTTAGTTTGGGCAACTAGATGCGTGAACAATTCTGGTAGCAAGAGCGCGGCTGATTGATTGCCAATCACGCCACGGCCATAATAATAATATAATATATAGTATAAAAATAGTACGTAATAAAAATTACATATAAATATTTTTTTTGTTGTTGGCGGGTAGAAAAAAGGGGCAACGCCCGCAGTTCTGTTAACGCTAGGTACTTACCGTAGTTTTGTTAAGGCTAGGTACTTTGACTAGGTCGATAAGGTTATCACGTAATCGGATAATTATCGTTGTCGTATAATTATAGTAGATTAATTGTCGAAGGGTCGGTTGTCCGAGCGAGACATTTTTTGTTGATCGACCTTTATTTGTATTGTAACTTGTATTTAATTTAATAAATAGTAATTTGTATTTAACTTGATTTGATCGTACTAGTGTTTGTTATTTGTTAATTTGATTTGTGTTTTTTTTTTTGTTTTGTGCATTAGTTTGTATTTATTAGTGATGCCGTCGCACAAGCAACCGGCGCTTCGCCTGCAGGCTGAGCTGCGCTGGGCCGCGAACGCCCATATTTTGATAGGTCGACCTGACCAGGTTCATAGTTTAGGGAAGCGGCTCGAGCAGGTCGATGCCCGAAGGGCTGTAGTGGAGGAGGCTTGCACAGAGCTTTTGGCCTCGGATGCGGAACAGGAAGTCCTAGACTCCTGCCTCGCGGACTACGAGAAATTTTTTGCGCTCACGGACGATTTGATCGAGGCGGGGCCAAGGATGCAGAGGAAGCGCGTAAAGCTAGACTGAGGGGCCTGTCCGAGTCTCCTCGGAAGGAGCCTACTCAGCCGGAGCTGTTAGGACGACTCCCGACTCTGGACCTGCCAAGGTTCTCCGGGGTCCTCTCCGAATGGCTGACGTTCGTCGGTCTGTTTGACAGCCTGGTGGACGCCCGGAGGGACCTGACACCCAGCCAGAAAATGGGGTACCTCCTAGCCTAATTGGAGGGGGAGGCCCTAGACGTCGTCGGACACCTGAAATTGTCGGACGACGCCTACCAGAATGCTCGGGACCTCCTCGCCGGAAGGTACGCCAACGTCCGCCGGATTGCGGACGACTACGTTCGGAAGTTGCTAAGCCTCCCGCTGCTTGAGGATCGGACCAGACTACGTACGGACATCGTAAATCCAGTCGTGGTGGCTTGCAACTCGTTGAGGCGGCTGGATTTACTGGTGGACGAATGGTCCTTTTTATTGCTCTACATTGTGCTGTCTCACCTGCCTCTCGACCTTCGGCTCCACTTCGAGGAGCGGTACGGCGGGGACGGTGCCTCCTATATTCCTCCCTTCAGGGACCTACTGCGATTCTTGGAGGAGCAGTGCAGACAAATGGAGAATGCGGCAGGCGCCGCCGAGGAACCCTAGGTTGTCACCCGAGCGGTGCCCAGGGAGAGGCGAAATTCGACGGCCAAAGCGTCGCCAACCCGCTGAGGCCGAGCGGAGCTCCCGCGGGAGGGCGCCACCCCCTACCCACCTATAGTGGCCTAGCGGCCAGGGAGGCGCCCCCTGCTCCTATTGTCGAGCATCCGATCACCGGGCGACGTCGTGCCCTAAGTTGTTGTGCAAGCCAGCCCCGGCGAGGCAAACCATCGCCAGGGAGCGCTGCTGGTGCTACTCGTGCCTGGAGAGGCATCTACAACGAGACTGCCCGCACCAGCGGCCCTGCACGCACTGCCAGGGCAACCACCATGTCATTTTGTGCCTGTGGGGGGTCCCTCCCCCGACCGGTCGGGGAGTCGTTCCCCCAGGGGCGAAGGGGTCGTCGCCCCCCCTCAGCGTGTTGAGAGGGGCTTCGCGGCCACTCAGCGGTCAGCTAGACCGTTCTCACCCCCTTTGGCTGAGTGGCCGCGACTGGAACGCCGCCCTCCCCCCTTTGGACGGTGCCGGTATTACCGGGTTCCTGAGAACTCGTATCTGTCCCGGGCCTCGGGGCCGAGGCTCCCCGAATTTCCCGAGGTCGGCCCGTTCGGGGAATTCCAGCCGCGGGTCATCGAGATGCCGTTGGAGTGCCGCTCTCGGGGCCCCCGGCTTGGGTGCCGGTCCGATAGAGGCAGCTCCAGATAGGAGGCTGCCGCCCTAGCTCCCACCACGGCCGCCTACTCTGAGCCTTTGAGCCGTCAGCAGTCCACCTGTCAAACTGTTCTATTGCCGACGGCCTCAGTGAAGGTGTACAACCCGAGCGGCGACCGCTTAACGGTTCGCGCTCTGTTGGATTCGGGTTCACAATGTAGTGTGGCCTCCACTTGGTTGGTGGGAAGACTGGGGCTCCCTTGGAGCTCTGAATCACGTCCGATGGTAGGTATCGGAGGTGCCGAGCCTCATGCTCCTAGGGGACAAGCAGAGTTGGTGTTCAGCCCCGCCAGCGAACACCTTCACATTTTAGTCAAGGTAAATGTCCTCGATAACATTGTAGGTTTTCTCCCTAACGTCCGTATAAATGACAGCGCGGTTCGTTGTGCGTCGGGTTTGAGACAGGCAGACCCTCAATGGTCCCAACCTGGGCCTATAGATTTGTTGCTTGGGGCCGACGCGCTGGGGTTCATCTTGTTAGGTGAGATACGAGCCCTGCAGCCCGATGGCTTGTCGGCCGTGTCCACTGTATTTGGGCACAGTTTCTTTGGACCGGTTATGTGGTCTCCTCCCCCTCCGACGACCGACCCGCT